TTAATATGCTTAATTACTTGCATATCCTTCAATAATTATATTAATTAATTTATTTATTTTATCATATCATCAGCACTATAAATAATTGCAATGATATTAAGTTTTCATTTTGGTACATTCCCTCCGATTGGTGGGGTACGTATACATACACATTCCACGTCACCAGGTTGTCATGACGTGGCAAAGTATGATCGGAAAGTTGGCAATGCTAAGAATTGGAATGAGATTGTGCAAATATTCCGATGGTGTATATATATATATATATATATGTATGTGTTTGGATTGTGTTTTATGGTTTCAAATACTCCTTCCGTCTGATATATGCGATATTAGACAAATCTTTTGCTATATTTTAGACGGTTTTTGGATGCGAATTTTGTATATATATATGTATGCTCCTAATGATGCGTTTTTGAACTTTCTACTAGGCGTTGATGAGTTGACAAATTTTGGGCATATTGGAGAGAAAAACAGAACGCAGGAAATCCTTAAGCGTGATCACGAAGCAGAAAAAAAATAATAATTGCAAAAAGGTCCTCCGGAGTTAATTAGCAATTTTAGAATTGTTTGGTTTAAAGTGCAAAGGGGATCTTGGGATGGACTTGAAGACACACGATTTTTTCAATTGAAGGGGAGAAGAGAAGGGGACTACTACGTTCTCTACCACGATCTCACCTACAACCTATTTTCTGAGAGAGAAGAGAAGCGAAGGAAGATACTACGTACGGGAACTTTGGAGAGCAACGCATAAGAACTTCCGGGCCCCTTTTTCTTCATTTCTAGAATTCGTTTGTTGTCGATTTTTAAACTTGAAGGCATGATGAACTCTTTGATTTATTTTATATTTTTAATTGCTATGGATTGCGAGTAGTTTCATTTCTAGTGTAGGTATGAATTGATTTTCGGGATTGAAATTGTGAGACTTGGTTTCGATTAAAATTGGTGTTCATCGATGTTGGGTATTTTTAATTCTTCTAATTGATGGGTTTAGAAATCTTGAATTGATTATTGCGCACGTATCAATTTAGGATTTCATAGCTATATTGGGGATTGACATACGTAATTGTGTAATTTTTCAATTGGCGTAGCAACCTAGAAAAGAACACTCCAGGGAAAGAATTAAGATCAATTTTAGACAAATCCTCGTAGGAGCTTGTTAAATTGAATTGGGTTTTTCTAGTTTTTACTGCTGTCGAGTTAGAAAACTACGGTTGTACCTAGGATTCTTTCCCGATTAGAGAAATAGCTAACGGTCGTACCTTAGCTATCGAAAAAGTAAGGAAAGGTTGGTTGTGAACGCGTGTAGATCAACTTTAACCAATTTATTCAACTAGTCGATGAATTTGACTTTTAGTCGATGATCAAATTTCATATCCCGAATGAAAAATTCATGTCTATGCTAGAGTCTAATCATCTTTGGTAATCTGTCGTGCATTTTATTTTATTTTATTTAGTTGAGCGAATTTATTTTCTCTTATTTTAGCGTGATAAATTCAACCCCCCCTATTATATATATAGTATAATTTTAGATAACCGAATATTCAATATTATTATTATTCCCTGCGGAGACGACCCTAATCACCGAACTATTGCATTTTGCAAGTTTTTTTTGTGATGTAGGAACTGATACTTTATTTTGCAACTTTGACGAGGCTAGCACTGTTTCATTGGAAGGGTGACATTTGCTTTTTGTACATAGATTTTTTAATATTAGTACTCTCTCCGTCCCATAACAAAGTATCTATTTTTTCATTTTTGTCCGTGCCATAACAAAATATCAATTTTTTTTTTTTTAGTAATTGTACTATCTACCTAACATTACAAATACCCTTACAACTTACAATATATTACATAAATATCATTACCTTTATATTACACATACTAATAAGGTTATTTTAGTCATTTCTACTTATTCTTACTACATCTAAATATAATACTAATAGTTCTAAAACTACGTAGATATTTAGTTATGAGACGGATGGAGTATTATATTGGATTGTAGTGAAAAAGACAAAAATACCCCTATTAGCATGGTCTAATATAAAAATAATGACATTTGTGTAATATATTATAAGTTGAAAGAGTATTTATTATGTTAGGTAGGTAGTACAGTTACTAAATTAGAAAATAGTAACCTAGTTTTGTAACGGACAAAAATAGAAAATAGTAATCTTTCAATGGGACGAGGGGAATATTAAATTTAATTTAGAATTATATTCGAATGTGATGTTTTATTGTAATAAGAATTAGCATATATATATATATTGAAAAAAAAAAATCAATTGCAATGGAGTACTTCCATCGTAATTAAAAATACTATTTTTACTATTTATGTTGATCTTATTTAAAAGTATTCGTTTTCTATATCAATAAAAGTAATAATACATTAACACTAAAATACTTATTAAATTACAAATATATTATACATAAAGTACAACGATAAAAATATTAAAATAATCATATCTATTTTTACTAACTAATAAAATATTATTAATTTTAAATTTATTACAAAACTCCAAATGATCCATTTGAATTGAAACATACAAAGTATAAAACATTGACATTTTAATAAAAGTTGAACCACATTATTAATATATCGAATTTTTATATTTTAACTTATTGAAGAAAAAAATCTAACCATGCAATCATCACCGTTTTTTATAAAATAAATCTTTATTGTAAAATATTATACAATAAATTACTATTTAAATAAAAATATACAAGTACAAATAAAAAAATATTTCATAACCCTATAATTTAACAACTTTTTTTTTTTTTTCCTTTTCTCTGTTTTAAAATAACGACATATTTTCACACTTTCGAAAATGCACTTGTTTGATAGCTCATAGCAGCTAGCTACTACAGCCGCCCACGCTAAGTATTTAAAAATTATATATAAGTTGGCTGTGGAGCACATACACTCAAAAGGAGTGCAAATTAAAATAAAATAAAATAAATTAAATTAAATTAAGTTGAATAAAATAAATTAAAACAAGTTCATACGTACGCACATACTCATCATTTTAATTAATAAGAAACTCCTTCGTAGATATTAATTTTTTTTCTAAAAAAAAATTATAATAATTTTTTTATAAGATATTTTTTAAAGAAGAGTTAAATGTGATTTATTATTATTATTTTTTTTAATGGAGAACAAGTTAATATATTTTAAGAATATTATGAGATAAAAAATAAAAATACTATACAAGAAAACCCTAATTTCTTAAGAAAATTAAAAATTATGTTCTCTTTGTACTCCTTTTTTTTAAAAAAATAAAATAATAATAATAATAATAATAATAAAAATTATGCACCTACATTAGTATACTATTAAAAAAAAAAATTAAAATTTGAATGATAATTAATGCTAAGATTTTGTTCTAAATTTATCATCATCGTAATAATATAATTCTTAGATGATATAAATAATTGTATCAGAGTCGAAAAGTTTCGTGTTCGAGTCCCACCATTTTCATTCGTCGTCATCTATGTGCAAGATTCGTATAGTGGCGTAGATGTCTTTTGCACATGAGGTGATGTGTTGGTTGACTCATGTAAAATATAAATAAATAAATAATGTATTATTTCTACTAATTTAAACTTTTATATAAAACGGTCATTTACGTTATCTAATAATAATAATAATAATAATAATAATATCAACAACAACAAAAGGTTCTAATTAAGTTTTGTGCAATGTATGCATATTTGGCATTCAACAAGCTAGGACAAAGGTATGACATGTAAAATAATAATAATAATAATAATAATAATAATAATAATAATAATAATAATAATAATAATAATAATATACAATTATACAAACGATGGTTCCTGGGGCTTGTCATAAAAGTAAAAATTAAATTAATGTAATAGTTATATATAGTTGGAATCCTTTTAAGTTATTTGATTTTAATTAATTTAAAAATTGGATGCAAACTCACATATAACTTTTTCCATAAAAAGAAGAGACTGTATCAAAACCAATGTCTTATCACATGCAACTTATATATATCGATTTGATGAACAATTTCCAAGTAGGAGGTGCACTGGATCGCCACTTTTATCCATCCCCACATTATTTTATTTTATTTATTTAATTTCCTAATTAAAGTTACATACCTATGAAATTAGAAGAGTAACCTATATTAATTAATCTTATATATATATGAAATTTTTATGCATTAATTAATTAATTAGAAGATTAACCTAAATAAATACCTCACATTAGTGATTAGCCTATAAAACCTAACAAAGTACACCTAATTATAAATCAAAACATCATTACAGCATGCATCTCATTTCGAGAAAAATAATAATCCTTTTGCTTTCTTGTGACGACGACACGTGTCCTGATTAATAATCTATTTTTATTTTTTTTAATATATTAGCAAAAGTCATTAAAGTTATTAATTACCATTCTTACCCTTCTATCGCGCTTCGTTGATATATGAGTTGAGCAGTGACGTGGCCCGTGACGGGATCAAATTTTTTATTATAATAATAATAATAATAATCATATTGTAAAAAAATAAGAAAATAAAATTTAGTGAGAATGTAATGAATGTTAATTTTGTTATCATAAAATATCGTAATAAGTGAAGCTTTCATGCAAAAGGTGGCCATGAAGTGGGACCCACACAAAAATGTGAAGAATGGGTTGGGCGGAATGGGCTTTGTGGGCCGAAACAAGGTTAGCAGTCGCAATCCAAATGTGGGTGGGCCCAATAACCACTCCTTCTATCACCTGCATTCCACGTGCTCCTCCACGTCATCCTTCCACACTGCCACGTCAGCCTAAAAAAAAACTTCAATTTCTAATTCTTTCCATTAATTTCAGTAAAAAATCAAATTAATAAAATTAATTGTAGGCTCATGATTTGGAAGTGGGGCCCACCCCCCAAAGTCAGTCACAACTCACATGCCCCCTTTCCTTCATCACTCTGCTCCTATTTAAGCCCCCTTTCCCTCTCCCCCTTTCCTCATTCCCAATCCAAAAATCCAATCTGTCAATCTTAATTTCTCCAAACACAAAAAATTCAAATTGATTTTCCGGTCAATCTCGAACCTGTTCAAACAACTAGAAAAAAAAAATGCTTACTTTCTCCGATTCCGACATGTTTTCCCGGCGGTGCGTGTGGGTAAACGGTCCGGTCATCGTCGGCGCCGGCCCGTCCGGCCTCGCCGTCGCCGCCGGCCTGAAGGACCGCGGCGTCCCGTTCGTAATCCTCGAAAAGTCCGACTGCATCGCGTCGCTGTGGCAGAAACGGACCTACGATCGCCTGAAACTTCACCTGCCCAAGCAATTCTGTCAGCTGCCCGACTTCCCGTTCCCCGCCGGTTACCCGGAATATCCTTCTAAGCGGCAATTCGTCGAGTACCTTGAGTCCTACGCAGCGGCTTTTGATATCCGGCCCCGGTTCAACGAGCGGGTCGACTCGGCCAAATTCGACCCGGTCTGCCGCCTCTGGCGAGTCCGGACCGTTTCCGCCGCCGGCGAGATCGAGTACATTTGTCAGTGGCTGGTGGTGGCCACCGGCGAGAATGCGGAGAAAGTCATGCCGGAGATCGCCGGCCTGAGCGAATTCGGCGGCGAGGTGATCCACGCCTGCGATTATAAATCCGGCGAGAGTTACAAGGGGAAGAAGGTCCTGGTCGTCGGCTGTGGAAATTCCGGCATGGAAGTTTCTCTCGATCTCTGTAACCACGACGCCAAGCCCGCCATGGTCGTCCGCAGCTCAGTAAGTATTTAAAAAAAATTAAAAATAAAAAATAAAAAATTAACCTTTCTTCTTCAACCTCCAAATTCCGCAATTGAAGGTCACTAACGGAGCTTTTTCAAAAACTAAAATTTGCAGGTCCACGTTCTTCCGAGGGAGGTTTTGGGGAAATCGACGTTCGAGCTAGCAATGTTGATGCTAAAATGGCTGCCATTGTGGCTGGTAGACAAGATCCTGCTATTTCTGGCATGGATGATCCTCGGAAACATCGAGAAATACGGTCTGAAAAGGCCACCCACAGGGCCATTAGAGCTGAAGAACACTCAAGGAAAGACTCCTGTTCTAGACATCGGATCACTCGACAAGATCCGGTCCAAAGAAATCCAAGTAGTCCCAGGAATCAAAAGATTCTCTCCCGGCGCCGTCGAGCTCGTCACCGGCGAACACCTCGAAATCGACGCCGTCGTTTTCGCCACCGGATACTGCAGCAACGTGCCTTACTGGCTACAGGTGGGAAAAACAATAAATAAATAAATAAAGACTCCATTTTTATTATTACAAAAACCTCAAAATCATTACACACATTGAAAATGTTCTAAATTTTTTAAAATCAATTTCTTCTACAGGACACAGAATTCTTCTGCAAGAATGGATTCCCAAAATCTTCATTCCCAAATGGATGGAAAGGAAATGGTGGACTGTATGCTGTTGGGTTCACAAGGAGAGGGCTCTCTGGTGCATCTTCTGACGCCATTAAAATTTCTCAAGACATTGCCAAAGTATGGAAGGATGACCTAAAGCAAAAGAAGCAGAAAGTTCCTACACACAGAAGATGCATTTCAACCTTCTGAACATCATCAAGAATCCCTGTAAAAAAAAAAAAAAGAAGAAAAAGTAGCATATAGACCAGCCCAGATCAGATTAGCCCTCTCCAGACAAAGCCCAAGTTTTGAAACCCTTTTTGGGCATTTTACATGTATACTTAATTAGGATGATGAGGCTCTGTTCTTTTCTTTTCTTTTGTTTTTTTGGTAAAATTGTAAACTTAAATGTAATAAAATAAATGACATTTCTTTCTATGATATGATCAAGTCAGCAACGCAGGAGGAATGTCTCAGCAGAAGGGTTGTTTGCAGACATCAACAAAGTTCCATTACACACATATCCTTCCACAAAAGAATACTTAGGATGCAAATTACTCCTAGTTAGAACATGAAAAATGGTCGTTTCAATCAATTAGCTGAGTTAATTGAGATCATACATTCACATATCATTTTGGGAACTTTCATTCGAGGATAAATAATCAATGATTATATTTTTTTAATAATTCGAATTTTTAGATGAGACTATAATTTTTCATCCGACAGATCATCTCTTACAAATGTGTATATAAATATATCTCTTGTACTGTCCGGCTTTAGGTCCGGACGACCGCATCAGCTCAAGCCAATGTAAATGGAGATTCATTATATATTTATATTATACTTATAATATATATATATATAATTCATTTGATATACTATGTTTCAACTGAAAATATCTGTTTATTATTTTCGTCTGTATACTTAAAAATATTTATTTTATTAATAAAAAAATTATACATTAATATTAAAAGTACCACTAATCAATAAAATAATATTTAATCTAATATAAATCACTAAAAGGACAAAAGTATATAAAATATTATGAAATGACTGTGTAGTGTAAACTTATAATTGTGAGGTCATAGTTCGAACTCCTAATGTTTGAGAAAAAATTATTTTATATAATTATTTATATTTTATTAAAATACATATTATACATATATTTAGAGTCATTTTATTTTTATTTCACTCCAAATCCTTTGAAATCAGTCTGCTATTGTACCGATATGTGATTTATTATATGTACGGTCAACTCATACTCATATAATGTATTTGTATTATATTAATATAAATTTTAGACCATCAATTTATATTTCACTCACATACTGTCCAAAGTATATCTATGATTAATTCCCACAGTACTACTAGTTATTACTACTACATTATTTTCTCCAAATACAATACAGATGGGACTTTTCAAAGGAAATAAAGAAAGAAGGCTAATAGAAAGCCAATGGTCCAGCAATTTATCACCAACTTGGCACATGAACACCAGTAGTTGGTTTTGTAATAAAAACCAATAATATATAGTCTCCATCATTTAATTTTCTCGAATTATTAATCAATTTTTTTTGTTTTTTCGGCGCGCGTCGCAGTTCTTAATGTCGACCTGCATCATCATCGCTAGATATATGATCATGCTCTTGCTCTTCGAATTCTGCTAATTTGATTAAAAAAAATATATATATATATATATATATCAAACTCTGTTTATACAAATACTTTTTAAAATTTTTATGACTTTGGATCGCTTCGAAAAGTTTTTTTTGTTGTCGAAAGTTGGCTTGAATTGATCAGACAAGGGGAAAGATGTGTATTTATGAAGGTTGTGGTTACATGTTAGGTTTGGATCAGACAAGGGCTCGAGTTTATTACATTATGAATCGATCAAATGCATGTACGTACGTCGCCGCATTCTGTAGATGACAACACTCGACTATAACATCCTCGACCGTTGCTTTCGATGAAATAGTTGTGTAATTAATCAAACACAAAATCAAAACCAAAACGTACTCGAATTGTGAGTGATGTATGTGTTTAAGATAAGTGGTCCATGTAAAGGCTTATAAAAGTTTGAAGTATATTAAAATAAAAAGTGATGATTAGTTCTAATTAGTCCTATCGATTCATTGTTGATTGTTGTTTGACTCTTGAAAAGCGCGTTTGGACAAGAGGGTTGTCGAGAAACATATATTTATTCTCAGGATAAGTATTTTTTTTTTTAATTTTTTTTTTTCAGTCTTACATATAACGTATTTTTATTTTTTTGATCATTTAAATGAAAATTTATATAGAATAGAGTTGCATTTATTCTTCAATAATTTGTACGAAAATATTGTCACGAGTGTTGACATGATACCATTGTGTCACAATATTTTGATATTAAAAAATATTTTTAGCGATAAATATAAAATTATTTACGATTACTCGTGATCAACATGTAAAAATCTACTCTTTAGAGCATAGATTGAATTAAATCAACAATGTGGATTGTTGTTACCTGTACAATTAGTTCATAAAAAAACATGTGTGATTGTGTTAACAGACACCTTGCCAAAATTAATTATGACATATGCTATGTGAACTATTACTGTATATTGTTAGTTCATATACATTAGCATTTGTGTTCTATTAAAACATATCTCGTAGTGTTAGTTACACCTCATATACATATTGTCAATTTATTTTCACGCGCACTAATTAGCACCCTTATCGACCAAAATAATAAGAATGCGACTGAAAAAAATAAAATAAAACATTTATCCGATGTTTATTTGTCTCAAAGTTAATCGAAAAACAGGGCACATGGCAGTCCATCCCGGGATGGAAGAAACGGACAATGATCGAACGATGAAGATGAATATGGCCCATAGGAAGCCTTATAATCCTACAACACTCTTGTAATTAAATGTATGTGTCGAACAACACTTGATATACAATGTTGGAGGCTAATTTGGCTCATGTATATTAATATTATTGACATTTATTTTACTCTCATATATATATATGTATATATATATCTTGAGACATCTCCAGTTTATTATTTATGTCTGTACATTACCACATGGGGAATGGACAGACTACTGCAGTCTGCAGTTATCTATTTCTTCTCGTGGCTGAGAATCAGCGGTGACTTTAAAAACACGATTCATAACTTGTAACTTCCATGGATTTGGCTGCACTAACTAACTTAACTAACTGACTGTATGATAATTAATTGGGAAGGATAACCTTAATCAAACTATGGTTTTGGATTGCAAGAAATGGACAAGCTATGCATGTGTGGTGGACATGTCGTTTGTTTTGGAAGTAGTAGTTAGAGCTGGTAAACGAACCGAGCCGAGAACGACTCGGTTCGGCTCGGTTAAAATTCGTTCGCGAACGTTCGTTTAAATAATATATTTATTATAAATATTATATATATATAATTATAATTTATAAATAAATAAAATAATAATTTAAAATATCTAAATAAAACATTTAAAATTTTTTTATAATATATATATAAATTTAAAAAGATAAGACAAACGAGCTCGAACAAACTCGAACGAGCTTAAACGAGTCGAACACGAACACGAGCTCAAATAAAAAATTCTTAATGAGCCGAGCTCAAATACTACGAACGAGCTCGAAAGCTTAACAAACGAACATGAGCCTTGTTCGCGAACGTTAACGAACACTTAAAATTTGGTTCGACTCTCGTTAACAACTCTGGTAGTAGTAATGAATTATATATATATATATATATATATGGATGGTACTGGTTTTTGTAATGGAACCTGCCAGGTGATTACGATTAGGACTTGTGAAGAAGGAAGGAGATTTGAAATGGGGGGTGGGGTGGGGTGGGGTGGGGGAAAAGGGGAACCGCCATTAATACGGACTGCGTTTCATCGACATACATTTCTGACATCGTCTTCCTCCTGCTGCTGCTTTATATGTATGTATATATATATTATTGGATCCACAATGATTATCTTATCTAAATGCTTAAAAACTATATTAATTAATTATTTATACGCAAACTTTCAGTGTATATATATATATATGTGGCGAAGATGGATAAATAACACATAATATAAATACAGACAATACATAATTAAAAAAAAATATTTGAATTATATTAATATAATATAAACGCAAAACATTAATTTACATGACAATAACACATCATTCTCGTACAAACAGTCAGCCCGATTTGTGGTAGGTGACCTGGAGACGTCGAGAGTTTAACCCTATAACCTCATCGGTCATAAATCCATCCCGTCCCATTCATTCATCTTTTATGGATTCGTACTGCAGTATTTTTATATAAAAATAAAATAAATAAATACTTAAAATGAATTTTTTTAAAGAAAATTAATAACAATAATAGAATAAATAAAAAATAATAAAAATTCACTATTACTATTTGTTAAAACTAGAAAGCAAAATTAGGTAAATTTAATTTTTGTTCTTACCAAACTTACAACTAAAATCCAAACTTTAGAAGTAACGTTCGAGTTTTGAGAATTCCAAACAACAAGGACTTGTGAAAGAAATTTCGAACCTGGTACTAAAATAAATAAGGTTGTCTGCAAATAATAGTCCATCTATTAATGGGCTTAGAATGAAAATAGTTTGCAAAGCCCAATATGAACTGTATGGTTTTATAAAAGCCCAAATGAAATTGGGCCTATTTTGTATTTAAATTAATAGGCCCAATATTCTTCAGGCCAATATTTGAGAGTGTTTTGAAATTTGACCCAAAAGTACAGATGGGCTTATTTTTTAACCTGAATATTAGTAAAAATTTTGTTTACATAATATTTTTAAAATTTTTACATTATTTAATTTTAAATTATAATTTTATTTTTAATAATGTCCTATCAAATATATATCCAGTGTTAAATTTTAGGCCCCTTTTCTGAATTGATAAAATTGTCCATCAGATGATGTCAGTACTGACTGCATCTGGTCAACTTTAAAATCAACGGCTAGGATTCAGCCACTAGTCATCCAATGGACTGTCCATATAATCTCATGTTCCCACCACTTAATGGCATTAATTAATTAGAAATAATTAATAAAAAGTGATTCTAAATTTTAATTTATTATAACCCATTATTTAATTTTATTTAATTTAATATATACTTCACTTGCATGGCCAGCCTCACATAATTTTATATAATATACCTTCTTTGGCATATTGTGTCAGCTCACACAGTCCATAAAAAATGTAACGCAAATAATTTATTTTATGCATAAATAAAAACGCTATAAAATTTAAATTCAATTTATTTATTTTTTCCTTAACAAATAAAAACAAATTGTATTTAATTATTAATTAATTAAGTAAAAAATATTTCCCGTAATTGAAACGCATAAATAAATTAGAATGAATAAAGGCGAGTGGCGTCCGGGCAGAGAGTCCGTGGAGGAGAGAAAAGGCTATGCTCAGGTGGAGCCAAAAAGAGCTCTCTACTTCGATTCGTCGCTGTATCTTCTCCGCCGCTGGATTTTCGGCGGCGCTCCGGTCACATTCCGACGGACTTAATGATTTACTGACAGGTTTGTTTGATTCTGGAGATGAAGCTTAATTCCTGCATTGTTTTGTGCTGTTTCTGCTTGAAGACGCGTATTTTTGCTTGTGCAGTAGAAGATGGAGGAGTTTGTGGATTGTTTAGCTGCTCGCATTGCTACTGAAATTTGATTTATGGAGAGCTGTTACTGTAGTCGGAGTTTCTGAGGATTTGCAGCCTCGGTTCGGTGTTTCACTTTTTTGTAACTGTCTTCCGATCTGGCTTTTTTAGGAGGTAATCCATGTGTGGAACCTGATAATGGCTTTTGGTTTTATCCTTTGGTCTAAAAGCGATTGCAGGTTTGCTTTTTGTGTGTCATATTTAACTAGCTTGTTTGTTTTATGACTAGCCTACTTTTCTTCATACATAGTGTAGAATCAACAGTTGCATTGGTTGTTTAGCAGGAACATGTTTGTATTTTGGCTTTTATGAACATCAAAGTTCGAATGTGTGTGGAGAAAGTAAAATGTGACCCACTCTGGTTTCGCTGTGTGTGTGTTTCTGTCAGCTTCAGAAAATAGCCTTTTTGGGATTGAGATTCTGTATTGTTGATAAAGTTTTTTTGGAGGAATTTGGAGTTCATTCTGGGATCTGTAACGAGTTGTTACTCGCTGTTGCTGATGTGATTTTTCGTGAGAACGTGGTGGAACAGTTGCGCCAAAAGTCATTTCGTTGTTTGTTGTCATTCTCGACTGTTTCCTTTTCCACATTAATCTAGACAATTTGTTTTGTAGTAACTGGCTTTCCTTAGTTAAGTCTCTCTAGGTTCAAATTCTTTTGCCTTCTTCTTAAACCTTCTTCGATCTTGGTTTGTTTGGGGGTTGGAAATTTGCAAAAGCTACTTTGAGTCCGGATTTTCGCCGTTATATTTCTGTTGTATTTTGTGGTTCTTTGTTTTACCATCTGTTTTGTTAGTATTTATCCCTGCATTTATTGATGTCATTGAATCCCAGGTGTTGCAATGAATGGTCTTAGACAAAATGGCAAAACTAGAAATTTTGAGAAAGAGCATCCAGGGTGTTTGGGGAAAATGGTGAATCTGTTCGACTTGAATGTAGGGGTGTCTGCAAGCAGGCTGCTCACTGATAAACCTGATCGGGATGGTGATTATTCTTACTACTCTTTTGCGTGCCAATTTCAATTTCTCTTCAGGAACTTGTGTATTTCATTTGTACTGATGTGGGGCTTGTTTTAGAAGTTGTTTATTATTAATTTTATTTTTTAATTTTTGCATAGCTTTCATTGTTCTGTGCCCTCTTTTTAATCTCAGTGATAAATTAATGGCTGATATAAATTATTAAGTGAAATGACGAAATCTCAGTGATCATATTTGATATTTGGCATGATAAGATGATTTACATGTGATAAAAAAAGGTAACCAATGGTATGTTTGGGGGTGTTTTTAAGCAGGAAAAAATATTTCATTATGAGAAAATGAGTATGAAAAATGCAAACTAACACCCTAAGTGCTTCCTTTTCTTTTTGGTTCCATTCAACATTGCTATGTTGAATGTTTTGGCTTTTGTTCCTAGTGATCTGTGGATCAACTTTCCAGGTTATAAAATTAACATTATAATAACTGATTCTCAGGTTCCCCACTCTCAAGAAGCAGATCTGATGTATCAAGAATGAGTTTATCCGGTGATTCCACAGAAGAAAAAGTGGTACCTTAAAATTTTCAAAGGGTCATCAAGTTCAGAGCACTAATGGAAGCTTATATCTTAGATTTTGCACATTGATCTTTATTCTGATTATCTTTTCTTCTGTTGTGTGCAGGTTGTATCCGAGTACAATAGTTTTCCAAACAGAAAATCACATGCTGCACCCATGAAAATGCACATTGATCAAGAGATGTTGAAAGAAGTAAACTCCAGGCATGATCCACCTAATTTAGTTGCCAAATTAATGGGACTTGATACTCTTCCAGAACAGGAGCCTGATGCTGTAATACAAAAAACCTATTCTAGAGTTCGTCCGCGGAGTCGTTCAGAAATTCCTGCGTGTCTCTGGCAAAAGCAGCAGAATGGATACATTAATCCCGTTAATGCAAAGGAGTGCCAAGATTTTTATGATATTTGGCAGCAACCACAGAAACCACCAAATAAGGGAAGATATAAGGAGGCTATAAACGAAAAACAGATGGCTTTTGTTCGCCAAAAGTTTATTGAAGCAAAGCGCCTGTCCATGGATGAAAAGCTCCATCAGTCTAAGCAATTCCAGGATGCCTTGGAAGTCTTGAGTTCCAACAAAGATTTGTTTCTCAAGTGCTTGCAGGAACCAATTTCAATGCTCCGTCAACAATCTGTTCCCCCTCCTACAGAGACAAAGCGAATTACTGTTCTTAGACCATCAAAGATGCCAGATAGTAACAAGTTCACTGGTTCAGGGAATATAGATAGGAAACAGATGAAAAAGGCTGCCTTTCTTCGGGTGAATGGGGCGGAGAGAACTGCTGGGGGTTCACCACCTCCTACCAGTTACAATTGTAATGAAAATCCTGCTCAACCAACACGAATAGTTGTTTTAAAACCAAGCCCTGGAAGACAGCATAATTTGAAAGCTGTCTCTCCTCAGTCAGAGGCACAAAGGCTATTGCGCATAGAAGACTTATATGGAGACATTGAAGATGATGAGAATAAGAGATCAAGAAAAGTTGCCAAGGAAATTACACAACAAATGCGTGAAAAACTTGGGAAGCACCGCAGAGATGAAACCTTGATTTCTTCTGTGTACTCCAACGGCTTTGTAGGCGATGAAAGTTCATTCAGTAAATCAGAAATTGAGCATGCAGATGGCAACCTAAGTGATTCAGAAGTCATGTCACCTGTATCTGGGCACTCATGGGATTGTGCTAATAGGCTTGGCAGTCCGTACTCATCCTCCCCATTTAGTAGGGCGTCTTATTCTCCTGAGTCATCAGTATGCAGAGAAGCAAAGAGGCGCCTTTCTGAAAGATGGACCATGATGGCATCTAATGGAAGTCGTCAGAAACATAAACAAGTTCAGAGGAACTCTAGCACCTTAGGAGAAATGCTTGCACTTTCCGAAGCAAGCAAGCCGGGATGTAGTGGAGAGGGCTGTAGCACAGGAGAAACAAAAGATTTGGATACTTTCTTAGTCAGTGAACTGAGAGAAGACAATAATGTGGATAGTTCACCAAGAAATCTCACAAGGTCAAAATCTGTTCCTGTATCTTGTACTGAGTTTGGTGTGAGGCTCAATGCTGGCATTGCGATGTCAGATAAAGCAAAGCGAGAAGCTCCTAATGAGGACACAAAGGCAAAAGGTGTTAGATCATCTTTTAGAGGGAAAGTTTCAAATTTGTTTTTCTCGAGGAACAGAAAACCTGATCATGATATATCTCTTGAACCTGAAATCAACAATGAATTAGAACTTTGCAATGATAGAGCTGAAACACTTGGTGATAACCGGCAAGGACATTCGTCACCTGGTGTACAAGAGCCATCAGTTAAATTGCCACATTCCAATCTAATTTGCAGACAGGACTTGACATATCCCGAGGTAATTTCAAAATATGAAAAGTTTGTCTATTAGAAGGCTTTTGATTTGCTATTATCATTTACTATTTCCTTTTATTAATTTATCTTCAATCTTTGACTTGTAATTTGTAAATACTTCAAAAGGTTATGTTATCTTCAAAAATTGCTCTTACAAGCTCTCAAATTTCCTCTAGCTTTTCTTAGTTCATGAATAGCAACCAAAACTCCAATAAATATACTCTGCTAACTTGTTATAGAAGGAAGATAAATGGTGCAATTTCTTCTGGTTCGGGCAAATTTACTGGTCATTTTTCTATTTAAGGGAGATTAATAGATAACCTTGCTACTCATGAATTTTGTAGGCTAGCTTGGCTGTGGCAAGGTCCATTGCAGTTGGAAACCAAGGTGAAAAGCATGATCAGCCGAGTCCTATATCGGTCTTGGATCAACCCTTTGAAGAGGATGCAGGAACAGCTCATTTGTTTACACATTTCACCAAGCCCATCCAACAAGGTACATATTATTTTACTTTGAATTGTCTTAAGCATATTTTCTATTTCCACCGACTGTAATTAAGTTGCTGTTTTTAATTGAAAATCATACTATAAACAATACAGGAGTTGAGTTTCCGCGAAATGCTAGTGGATCAAACTTAATTGACAAGTCACCGCCTATAGGATCCATCGCCCGCACCCTTTCATGGGAAGATTCGTGTGTTGACGCAGCCTCATCGTTTCTCTCAACGGAAACATTAAACAACCAAGGAAGAGATGAAAGGAAGCAAGAATGGTATTCATTTATACAGGCATTATTATCTGCAGCTGGTTTGCACGGTGAGCTGCAATCAAGTTTATTTTTTACAAGATGGCATTCGCCTGAAAGTCCCCTGGATCCGTCACTAAGAGACAAATACATACAAGAAAAGGAAACACTGCATGAGGCCAAGCGAAGGCAACTGAGATCAACTCAAAAACTCGTGTTTGATTGTGTTAATGTGGCATTATCGGAGGTTGCAGGATACGGGGCATATTTGGGCCAACGAACTAATCCATGCATAATGGCCAACAATCACCCTACAGAGAGAGGGTCGTCATCATTGGTGGATGAGGTATGGGCGCGAATGAATGCGTTGTTTTCTGACAATGTCAGATGTTTGTCAGATGATTGCGGAGATGACAACAGTGGCCTAGTGGTGGAGAGCGTGGTGAGAAAGGAAGTGGCGGGCAAGGGATGGACCGATCACCTGAATTCGGAGATGGATATTTTAAGACAGGAAATCGAAGAAAGTTTGCTGGCGGAGCTCATGGATGAGGCTGTGGTCGAACTGACAGGTAGACTGTGACAAGACTCTTTCATACTTTTAGTTTAATCTGTGTATCTTATCTCTATTTTACTTGCCAACTTTTGTTATTATTGTATGATGCATTTGCACGCTAATGGTCCCGGTCCCTCCCCAATTGTTTAGTGATGCAAAATTGTCGCTATTATGCTCGCACATGTGTGCCCGTGCATGATCTGATATTATTTTGCATGTAACAATTTCATGACAAATTAGAAAAAAAAAAAAAAAAAGCTCTGCTTCGAGGCATGTACCCGATTAACTTAGCCACTTTCACTTGTCTCCTGCTGTCATTTTAGCCATCTGAGTATATCAAAGCCTTATAGAAGCTTTATATATTATTTAGTTTTGTTATGTGCTTAGCAGTATGTGGCTTAAGTTCCAAATATTCGATTTGTGGCATATGTGATTCAAGCTTTTGTAGATTTTATTAGATATCAGCTAACTTTGGGAGATAGGATTAGGTTATTCTCCATGAATAGACTAGACAGGCTAGTTTCTGTAGAACAATCTAGCGGGTTCGTCGACGTTACGATCCAACTGTCATTGTAGAAGAAGAAGCAACAAATAGGAAGAAAATGACTCAAGAACATGGATTCATGTGACCATTGTGATATTCGTTGTGAATTCTAACAGTGTGTAGTCTATTTTCATTCCAACTCTTACTAAAGTTGTAAGAATGTTACTATTTTTTATTTTTGTCTGTCTAAAAAAAATACTATTTCTTAATTTAGTAATTGTACTATCTACTTAACATAATTAATATCCTTACAATTTTTAATATATATACAAATATCATTATTTTTTTATCACACAATCTAATAGGGGTAATTTTGTCTTTTTCTTCTCTATAAATCAATATAATATTAATATTAAAAAATTTATGGGGAAAAAGCAAATGTTATTATATTTTTTTTTTTTGCGGGGCGGAGGTAGTATATATATTAACTATTTCTTGATATGAGATTTAATACTTTCTGCTTGCCTTCTCTATGAGAATGGTTACTTTTATACTTTTCTCCATATTTGTGTTGTTAGTTGTTGCATATTTAATGGTTTGTGGACAGAAATTTAGGAATAAAACAAAATGACAGAAGTGTGTTAATTGGGGGATGATTTCTTGTGAGTGGGAGGAGCCTAAGAATCAGTAGAGTAGTAGTAGTACTTTGGCGCAGAGAAAGAATCTCGTGAACCGAAAGTAGAATCCCAAATGGAATTTGAATTATTTTTTTTTGAAAGTGATGATGGGAGTGAGATTTTATTATGTATTTGTCCGTTTGGGGGAACAGGTAGATGACAATGACAGATGTGCAGAAGATGGTGTGGAGATCACATGCTATTATTCCTTCAAATTATTGCACTTTTGATTTGGACCCTTTTTTTTAATTTTTTTGCGTGTATTGCTACTCAATTTCAACTGTATCAAATATTTTTATTATTCAAATTTTGTTTTTAAAAAAAATATTAAATCAAAAAATTATATTTTTTGTTTATATTTTACTAAAACATTATTTTACATTTAAAAGATCAAATTAACATCTATTTATATTATATTAAATAATTATTTAAAAATTTAAATCCACAGGCATTTACCCGGTGTACAACACTACATTTTTGGGTAATGGCTGAAATTTTTATTGTTATAAAAATAAAATAAAATTTTATTTACACTATTCATTCAACTTTTTCTCCTAAAAAATATTAAATCAAATCCTTATTTTTTATTTTTTATATTATACTAAAAATCAATTTTACATTCAAAATATCACATCAACAAATCGAAGAACAGTAAATATGTCCAAAGTTGTACTAATCGGGAGTTGCAATCAAGTCAAGTCATACACACAAACAATTTCATCTTCTCCACAAATAAAGAGTCTCAATGCACCACCAAACAAATTATAGAAACCAAATGAATGAAACATAAGACTCGCGAAAATTCAGAGACACATTTACATCTAAAACTCACCAAGGACGACACATTTGCAACAAAAGGAAACTCACAACACATTTACATCGAAAAATTTACCAAAAGACAGTGGTGCAGCATCATGTCATCTTCCTCGCAATCTCAAGGTTTAACATCGGTCGTCATGGATTGGTTCTGCGTACTCTGTTTTGCATCACCGCCACTTAATCCATACTGTACAATAAGTGCGACCCGATGAATCAGTAAGTAGCAACATAACGAATAATGGACTGCATACATTAAGTACTAAAAAATTAGCAACCATGTCGATTCTAACGCAAAAACGTATTATATTTCACCATTCTAATATGTTAAAAATGCCGGTAAAGTAAACAAATCCAGAAGTTGTAAGCATCCAAAGATTCGACATTTTTAACAGTGTCAGAGTAGCATAACAGAGAATCGGACAGGAAACAACATGGCAAGTTGCAAAAGGGGCCCCTGCCCGCCCCCCACGTCTTATTTTTTCTAAATTCTAAGCCTCTGTTTGGAAGGCATGCGCGTCTTGTTCGATATGTAGGATCAAGCGAGACATATAGTTCTACCGTAATGTTATAATCTACAAGAAATTATAGACATGCATTTCATGGAAACTCCACTGGACTCACATCACCCGACCTTTTCCTAGTGACAATATTCTCAACAAGCCGGCTAATATTTCTAATTATCGAATTCTAGTATAATATTTCCCATTGTTTCTAAAACCATTGGCTTGTTTCGGAATAACTCGCAAATATATTGACTCATATAAGGGTACCTTAAATTCTTACATCATTCGCTATAATGTAATACCAAAAACTCAAATAAACTCGCTTGATTAGTTATAAACACTCCACTTGAGTTTCTACGACGACCAACAAATTGGTTGACTAATAACTGATTATTTGAGCTGAATGAAGGAAATTTAATGCCATTTAATTCATGCAGTGTTTGCCGTAAAATGTGTACCTTTGCTCTCATTCTTGAACTCCAAATATCAGAATCACCTCTAGTCGATCCGGAGGCCTGACCCGAGTATGGGCTAAGCAGCGGCTCTCTGGCACCAGTCCGAAAACTGTAATCCTCCTCAATGTCGTCATCTGCTCTTGGACGAGAAACTAAGGATCGCAATACTATTGAAAGAAGTATGGATAGAACCTGAAAATGGTAAAATTTGACTTCTATAAAGCACAGTAGATTTTACGAGCAAACAGCTTACCAAACATGCGATAAATAGCAAATGTCACAGATGTATAGGAGTAATTAATGCAACAAATGTAGTAATAGCTAACTAATTAATGGGGTGTTTGGTATTGGAAAATGACGATAGAAAAATAGAAATATATCCATTTTTCTTGTTTGTTTCGGTTACAAATAGTATATCATTTCTCATTCTCTATTTTTATTTATGTGCTCAAATGAAAATTAAACACTCTCAGTGTGTTTATTTGTGTTTTTCTATATTCTTTTACTATTTAACTTTTATGGTTTCTATAAACATATATTATCACATAAAAATAACTTATAAATTATTATTCAAATAAAAAATCAAAATAAAAAATTACTAACTAAATATAACAATATTTCTTAACAGATTTTCATGCCACTGAAATCTTCTTTTATCCGATTCATCCTTTTCTCTTAATTGATTTGATTCTCTGAATCAATCGCACTCTAAGTTCGATTTTTGTCTAACACGCAATTAATAGCAAATGTCACAGATGTATAGGAGTAATTAGTATAACAAATGTAGTAATAGCTAACTAATTAAGTTCAGTTTTGTCTAACATGCGATGAATAGCCAATCGTATGATAACTAATATGTTTACAAAGATGCTTTTGGAACATTACATTGTCCGTCGACAGTAAATTTTTCAACAAATATATCACATTAAATATCGTTTTCTCACAAAACGTCAAATAAGATATATATAACTTTTTATTATATCAAAAAATTTCCAATACTCCAAATTTTTTAAAACTTTCCCAATACTCCAAATTTTCCAAAAATTTCTATCTAAATGGAACATAAGGGTTTTGGCCGTATTTGTTCAGAAAAATACTTTTATGTAGTTGGTTGAAATTGATGATTCTTGGAAAGTTAGGCAAAGTAAATGTAGAAGTGAAAGAAAGAGAAACATTACCATATAATGTCAGATCGAATATGACATAATTAGAAGATTTACAAACAATTGAGGTGTAAACAAACCTGTATTGTAATAATAGCAATGCCAACCCACATAAAGACATCAACATTGTCTTGGATAAACTTTCGAAGACTGTCAAGTTGACCAGTGGGATCAAACGGGATATCCTGAAATTGTTTAAGAAAAATAATCGCATAAGAAGACAAAGACTATCATCGGAATCAGAACAATATGCGAAAAAGCTCTACCTTCTCCCACTGGTGATCAAGAGCAATGAAAGTTACTAACCCCAATTGCAATAGAATAAAAATCGTAGCCAATACAGCATACTGAAATTTTTGTCTGAGGGTCAAGAAAATACAGTATCGAAATATTAGCATAGCTCAGATTATCGATCTTCACAAGGATTTCCCAACCAACCTGCAAGTAAGGATCCAATGCTCCTCCCACGAGCAATATCACACTACCAAACAATATTTGACCCGTGTGTGTGTTATAAAAGTTCAACACTAACAACTTTAATCTTCCTAATTTCAGTATTGCTAATATAGCTTTAACTCTGCTTTTCGATCGCTTCTAACAAGAAATACAAGCGTATATCGTGCCCCTCTCCACTTTTCTCTCAGAAACGCTTGCAAAAACTTCAAATCTAAGGACCAAAATTTCTATAGCAAGATAGAAGCTCGATAAGCTGTTGCTAAAGCTTAACTGGGCATCAGTGCTTATATAAACGAACATTAGTCTTTCATGTTTTCACGAGGCAAGTTCATCCAATGAAAAGATCTCAAACTTTTTCGTATTTTAATAACTTTACGAACAATCTAGTTGAAAATCAAAACCTATAAACAAAAATTATGGTACCCAAACAATCATTGTTGAACTCAATAACAAATATTGTGAGAAAGGGACACAAATTTCTATTTCCTCTGTTCTACAAAACGACAAACGAGTGGAAAAATAAGAGAGGATACGCAGCAAAGGCAGCATCCATTGATCGCCTCGGCGCCAATGTGACCAATTAAAGCGATGCAACATATCAAAATTCCGACTCCCATGAATGCATATATAAACCTTTGCATGAACATAAACATTGGATTAAGCAGCAGGTAATCAAATTATTCAACAAAATAAGCTAATAGACAAAATGAATGATGAAACAATTTTGGAAATACGCAGGAGATAAATACCAGGGGGCTGGAAGAGAAACGGAATTGAAGCTGAGGGCATCATCCTGGAAGAAAAGCTCGCCCGATGCAAAATTCAGAGACCTAAATCCACCAGGCGAAGGAGCTTGGTTATGGTGGTGCTGCCATTGATTCAACATGTAAGCAGAACACACAATGATCGCCACACCAACGAACGCCTGCAGAAAAATCAGGAATTTGAGGACGAATGCCAGACATGTGTGGCAACATGGGGTTCGCATTTGTGGATTTTGCTCCTGAATTCTCCAAATTTCAGTCACTGTGAATCGCAATCCGATGAACTGATTTTGAATAACCTAACTTGCTTCCCAAATCTTCAATCATTTGCAGTTCTTGGCTCTTGGCTCTTGGCTCTTGACTTTCCCTTTCTTCTTCTTGTCGTTTACCTGACCACAAAGATCGAAAAAGTTTGGGCTTTTGGGCCTATACAGTAAACATATCAATTCGAAAATCTAAATTTTTGTAAAATAAAAAAGTATGTAATATAAATAATGTCCAACAAATAAAAAAACATATATATATATATACATATTTTTATTATAATAGTTTAATATATTCTGAATTCTTTCAAAAATTTTGAATCAAGAAAGAAATTTGATCAACAACACGTACCAATAAGAGTTCATGGCCCTCCGCTTCTTACAACCTTCAAGAAAACTTCGCCATATCAATGCATTTGGAGCAATGGGCATTCCCAGAATGAGCTGCTCAGCTTCCTTAACGCAGCCGTTTCTTGTCAAGAGATCGACGACGACGGCGTAGTGATCGATTTCCGGCTCAACGCCATACTTAACTTTCATCTTGTCGAGCAGGTCCATCCCCTGTTTCACCAATCCACCATGCCTGCAAGCAGAAAGAATCGCCATTAAAGTGACCTTATCCGGCCTGATCATTGTCCCCGTCGCCTGCATTTCTTCGAATCTTTGTAACGCTTCGTTCGCGTAGCCGTGCAGGCCGAGGGCCGAGAGAAGAGCTGTCCAAGAAATGACATTCTTGTCATCAATGGCATCGAAGATTTTAACCGAACTCTCGATGCTCCCACATTTTCCGTACATGTCGATCATCACGTTGCAAACAAACGTGTCGCAGAGTTTAGCGTTGGATTTCACAATAAGGCCGTGAAGAGAGCTCCCGAGAGCGAGGTTGCATAATTTGGTGCACACGCTGAAGAGGCTTACGTACGTGTAGCTGTCTGGACGGATCGATGATCTCCGCATGTGATCGAAGAGTTCGAATGTCTCGACGTAGTCGCAGTTCCGGGAACAAGCTGCAATCAGAATATTCCACGATACAACATCCGGATTCTCCAACGAGGCGTATAACTCTTGTGTTTTCTCATACTGCCCTGTTCGATTATAAATCCATGCAACAATATTCGAAGAAACAACAGGAAGCTTAGAACTGCCAGAATCGACAACGAACAGAGCATCAGACACGAGACCTTTTCTGGCATAAGAGCTAATAAGAGAACTCAACACATACGCATTCTCATCGAATCCATATTTGATCGCAATCGAATGAAGCTGCAGCAATTCTGATTCTAACATAGACGAGTTAATAACAATAGAAATCGATACCTCGTTGGGATAATAGCCTGAGCGAATCATCTCTTGAAGGAGCCTAATAGAAACGGAGCAACCGCTGTTCATATACGCTTGCATCAATGAATTCCACAAGACGGTGTTTTTCTGAGTCACGCCGTCAAAACATTTACGTGATTCCTGAATTTTACCACATTTTGCATAAAAGTTAACCAAAGAACTCCCGGCACTCACTTCCGACTCAAATCCTTTCTTAATTGTCTTCGCGTGAACATATTTCCCATACGATGAAAAATTCGCCCTCGAACATGAGCTAAGAATATTTACCAGAGTTGTTTCATTAGGAGACAATCCCTTCATCTGCATTTTCAGAAAGATATCGAATGCTTTGATCGGTGTGTCACCGTTTGCCATTACACCAATTAGGGTGTTCCATGTAACGAGATCTTTAGATGGAGAATTCTCGAAGATGTTCATCGCCAAATATGGCGCGCCAGATCTTGAGTACATACTGATCAAACAATTAGAGATCGAGGCAATGCAATCGAAGCCGTATTTGATCACTAATCCATGAACTTGCTCTCCCAGCTGCATATCTTCTCCCAAACCAGATAAAACATTCACCACAGTGTATTTGGATATTCCCAAATGAGTACTCATCAGCTCCGAAAACATGGCTATGCAATCTTTCAGGTATCCCATTTGTGCAAATATCGAAATCATACAATTCCAGGTAACCAAGGTCTTTCCCGGCATGGATTCGAACATTCTAACAGCTTCATCCAAGCATCTTTGCCTGCCATACATTCCTAAAATGGCTGTTCCTGTAAAAGCATCCATTAGAAGCAATCCAGTCTTCTCAATCAGCGCCTGCAACTGCACTCCTTCGAAAATGTCCAATTGATCACAGGACAACAATCCTCCTAACGTGAACTGCGTCGGGGTAAGACCACGCTTCCTCATCTCGGATAGAAAATTGAAAGCCTCCACCAAAAGATTGTCTCGACTGTAAGCGCTTATCATGGTGTTATACGACACGACATTCCGTTGCGTCATTTCGTCGAACAGCTTGCGGGCGAGGTGCGTGTCGCCGAACGACGCATACGTGGCGAGGATATTGTTGTGCACGAAAACGAGATTTTCGATGGAATCTGAACCCTTAGTGACGATGATCGCGTGCAGAGATTTGGCGTCGCCGAGGGAAGCGAGGTTTGTAGGGTCGTGGAGCAGGTGCGTGTAGCCATACTGCCTAATGGTTTGCGCATTGGAATCGACTGCAAAATGAAGCCTTCGGATAGGCGGAATGAGAACATTCCAAGAAGAAATCGTTCGAATCCTCAACAACAATCTGCAACTACAAGGGGATAACACCATTAACGTAGCTAGTAAGATTCAACTTTTCACTCCGCATTTGGAGCACACTGAGTATCAATTGTCTATATACACTTCCCGCGCCTCTGATAAATCCCCATTGTTAGATTTCGCGTTAAGAAGAAGAAGTAACTACAGCAGCAACGACCAACACGAAGAAGACGAGGAGGAAGACGAAAGCAAGTGCAACTCACGTGCGTATCTCATCTCCATTAGTCACGGCCCAAATAAAATCAATCAGGCCGGCCCGGCCCGGCCGGCCCAATGAGAGGGTTCAGCCCTATAAGGTCTTCTATTCGTTTCTTGGAAAGAAAGATAGATTTGCTGTCTCTCGGTTACAGTTAAATTTTTCAGCTCTGCAGTTCGATCTTAACTCAGGCAATACTGCGGAGCCATGGGTCAGGGATCACCCGGCGGTCTCAATCGGCAGCTTCCCGGAGACCGGAAGAACGACGGTGAAAAGAAAGGGAAGAAGTTCGAGCCGGCCGCGCCACCGGCTCGCGTCGGCCGGAAGCAGCGCAAGCAGAAGGGGCCGGAGGCTGCGGCTAGGATACCAGCTGTTACGCCGCTGACGAAGTGCAAGCTGCGTCTCTTGAAATTGGAGCGGATCAAGGACTACTTGCTTATGGAGGAGGAGTTTGTGGCTAATCAGGAGAGATTGAAGCCGCAGGAAGAGAAGACGGAGGAGGATCGGTCGAAAGTGGATGATTTGCGAGGCTCTCCTATGAGCGTGGGTAATTTGGAGGAATTGATTGATGAGAATCATGCCATTGTTTCGTCCTCGGTTGGGCCGGAGTATTACGTCGGGATCTTATCGTTTGTTGATAAAGATCAGCTCGAGCCTGGATGCGCCATTCTTATGCACAATAAGGTACAATTCCTGCTTTATTGTTGGATTGTTAGGGTTTCTGGAATGACAATTATAGAAAATTGGGGAAGATGGTCGTACTTTGCATTATAAGTTCATCAATTTGAATTTGTTTCAGAATGGATGCTTTTAATGAAGAAATTTTTATGATTGGTTACAGAAGTTTGAATTCAGCTAAGGTTTAAGATGAAGAAGAGGAAGAATATTCATAAATCATAAAATCATAACAGAGTAGCAGTGGCTAGTGAGAATGGTGAAAATCATGAAAAGGACTTATTTATCATATTTTGAACCTGATAAGTTTGATTATCTATCACAAAGTAATTGTTTTTGCTTATATAACTATTTTTGAGTTATGATTATATGTTTATTGCATTTTTATGGTTCGAAATGATAATTATGAGATTTATCTACATATTTCCCATATGTATTTTCAATGGAAATTTGTATATACATATAGTAATTTTTATATGTATATTCTTAAATTTCTAAACACCGGTCATTGCTATTCAAGATTCACAACTATGACTTTACAAATGAGGTGCACATTTTCAGATGGATTTTTCGAATAAAGTAACCGATCGATGAATCGATTATGCAGTGTTGATAATGGATGGAATTGCAGGTGCTTTCGGTTGTCGGACTACTTCAAGATGAAGTTGATCCGATGGTGTCCGTAATGAAAGTTGAGAAAGCGCCGTTAGAGTCGTATGCCGATATCGGTGGTTTGGATGCCCAAATCCAGGAAATCAAAGAGGCCGTCGAGCTTCCATTAACGCACCCTGAATTGTACGAAGACATCGGCATTAAACCTCCGAAGGGTGTCATACTCTACGGCGAGCCAGGCACTGGAAAAACATTGCTTGCAAAGGTGAGTTCACGACACGATGTTTGCGATACAATGCTGCGATTCTTACGTAATCTTCCCACGATGAAATTGGATTGATTGATTTATTCGAAGGTTTGTTCTGTTTATCTTAAGGCTGTGGCGAATTCTACATCTGCGACGTTCTTGCGAGTTGTTGGGAGTGAGTTAATTCAGAAATATCTCGGCGACGGTCCGAAATTGGTGAGGGAGCTTTTTAGAGTTGCTGATGACCTCTCGCCATCTATTGTCTTTATTGACGAAATCGATGCAGTCGGTACGAAAAGGTATTGCCCTCACGGACACGGTCTTTCCAATTTTCGACAACGTACTATTCACCCGACAATTCTTAACACAGATACGATGCGCACTCGGGCGGGGAGCGCGAAATTCAGCGGACTATGTTGGAATTGTTGAACCAATTAGATGGTTTTGATTCGAGAGGAGATGTAAAAGTTATTCTCGCGACAAATAAAATCGAAAGCCTCGACCCTGCCCTTCTCCGGCCTGGTAGAATAGATCGGAAAATTGAATTTCCTCTCCCAGATATCAAGACGAGGAGGCGTATTTTCCAGGTATTTCCCCTCACTATGCTATTATATACTCGATTGCCGTTGTCGGCGTCGTTAAATAAATATTCGGATTATTTTTCCAGATACACACGTCGAGGATGACATTGGCTGACGACGTCAATCTCGAAGAATTCGTTATGACGAAGGATGAATTCTCCGGAGCTGATATCAAGGCTATATGTACCGAAGCCGGTTTGCTTGCTTTAAGGGAACGCCGTATGAAGGCAAGTTTCCTTCGATTCGAATTTCTAATTGTCTTGAATAAGTTTACGGATTCGAAATTGATTAAGAATTTTGTCGTTTTCAGGTGACTCACGCCGACTTCAAGAAGGCGAAGGACAAAGTGATGTTCAAGAAAAAGGAAGGGGTTCCCGAAGGGCTTTATATGTGATCGACGACTTCTTCGGTTTGTTACTGCTCAATTATTAACGATGGAAATTATTTTTCGTCTTCGATTTCAATCATCAGCCATAATCATTGTTTGTTTCATCATTATTATTATTGTTATTATCATTTATTCCTTCTTCTTTTTCTGATCTTTGAAGCAGCAGCAGAACTCTTCTTTGTCGTCGCAACAAGCTCCCATGTCGAATCCCCCGTTGATGCACATCGTGTCGCACTCGCCTTGCCCGCCGTCGCACCGCCCGATTATTACTTTCGTTAGCTTCTTCTTATGCTCCTTGGGTTTGCCTGTATAAGTAATATAAACATATATGAAGTTTAGTTCTAACATGATCTTGAAAAATCGAATGTTCGAATCGATGTTTTTGTCATTACCAGTTTTTGAAACAGTTTCTTCGACGGCAGTGCAGATAAGAACGACTATGAGAAGCCATTTTCCCAGCCCAGAAATTGCCATTTTTACTATGGTTTGTAATTTTGTATCTCCAATTTCTTACACTTACTTACTGCCTTATTTATACTGCAAGTTTCGAAACGTATGAATATGATAGAATAATATTTCATAATTTTATTATTTATTTATCTAATATTTCGTGTCAATTTTATTACTCTTCTTCCAGTAATACAATTACAGCCACATCCGTACCTTTTTATCAAAGTTGAAATTTTTAAAAAATTGGATAAATTTTTCGAAAAGCTGATGAATAAGCTAAGAGCTGATCATGCAGAATTCAGCAATGAAGATGCAGAGAAGCTCGACCCGTTACTCTTCAAGTACAGACCCAGTCCCGGGATCGCCGACGACGACCCCCTACCGGAACCGGAAACCAAACTACTATGGCTCCTGGGCTGTGGTGATGCTTTTGTTACAGTGTCGACTTCCTCCCGGTCGTGCCGTATCTCAACCAGCATTGCGACCGTGTCCTTCATGGTCGGCCTGTCGCCGGGACACGGGTGTACGCAGAGCATGGCGACGCCTAACGTCTGCATCATTTCTTGGATTTCCGGCTCCGGTTCGAGGCGTAGGCTCGGGTCCAACACTTGGGTCCCATGCATTCTCGCGTGCCGAACCCAGTCGACAATGTGGAGACCTTCCGGTACCGTCGGGTTGACGGGATGTTTCCCGGTGAGGAGTTCGAGCATCACAACTCCGAAGCTATATACGTCGCTCTTCTCCGTGATCTTCATCGAGTACCCGTACTCTGTGCGAAAAAAGATTCACAACCTTTAATACGATCAAACGGTACGCCCAATCGAACCAATTAAGTGACTAACTAACCGGGAGCGATGTAACCGTATGACCCAGCAACTGTGTTGGAGCACCGGGCGATGTCGCCATCGTCGACGAGCTTAGCCAGGCCGAAATCTGCGATGTACGCCTCGAAATTGGGCCCGATTAGGATGTTGTTGGCCTTGATGTCCCGATGGATGATCGGAGGAACGCAATCGTGGTGCAAGTACGCGAGCCCTTGCGCCGCGCCGAGAATGACTCGATATCTCACGTCCCATTCGAGGTCGCAGCCCCTGCTGTTCTTCTCATGGAGGAGGCTGCCGAGGCTTCCGTTCGGCATGTAGTCGTACATGAGCAACCGGGTGTTCCGATTCCAACAGCACCCCAAGAACTTGACGATATTCTTGTGACGAATCGACCCGAGTGTCCGAACCTCAGTCGAAAATGAATCCCGGACACCGCTACCGGGTAACTGATCGGGTTGCGCCGCCGCCGTCGTCGGCCATAGCCGTTTCACGGCAATGACATTGCCGTTTCCGAGCTCCGCTCGATAAACAGTGCCCGAGCACCCTTTCCCAATCGCATTATCGTCCACAAGACACCTCACAATCTGTTCGACGGAAAAGTTCAGCTTCTGAAACGGCATAAGCTTCCACGAACACGAGTCGTGCCCTCCCGACTCTGAATCCGCATTTTCTCGACTCATTCTCCGAACCCTTATGACCGCCGCAACGCCGAGAATCCCGAGCACGATCGTCATCACGGCGAGCAACGTAATCGCCAATTTGAGCCTCCACGACTGCCTACCACGGCTACCGTGCGTATCGATCGAATAACAGGGCTCGCCGTCACGACCGTGTCCCAAACCGCACAGCCCCCGGTTTCCGGCGAGGTCACCCGGCGACAACTGCCGGAAAAGCTTATTGTCCGGGAGATAACCCGTGAAGTTATTGTACGAAACATTCAACGACACGAGATTCACCATCCCGGAAAGCGACGAGAGGTCGCCTCCGAGCTTATTGTGCGAAAGATCCAAAACTGAGAGCTTGCTCAACCCGACGATCTCCGGCGGGATCTTCCCTGTCAGCGAATTCCAGCTCAAATTTAGCGCGATTTCGAGCGCCTGAATTTCGAATATTTCAGCCGGAATGCTTCCAAACAGCTGATTCCGGCTTAAATCGAGCAGCTGCAGCCGCGAACACCGGCTGAGCGTCGACGGAATCTCCCCTGACAAATAATTGCTCGCTACCGATAGCGTATCGAGCGAAAACAGCTCCCCGAAACTCCCCGGAACCGCGCCGATAAACCGGTTCCTAGAAACATCTAACACTTCTAATTTAGCGAGGTTCGACAGGGAACCCGGAAGGTTCCCCGTCAGGGAATTCCCGGCGAGATTCAACATCTGTAACTCCCCACAGTTTCCGATTTCATCCGGCAGGATTCCAGTGAGGCGATTGTTCGACAAATCGAGGAAATTCAGGTTTGAAAGAAGCCCGATTTCTCCTGGAATCGGACCGCTGATTTTATTCCCAGACAACCTCAATCGAACGAGGGATTTGCATCGGCCAATTTCCGGCGGGACAGGGCCCGACAAATCGTTCGAGATTAGCAGAAGCTTTGTCAGATTTTTCAGGTAAAATAGGCTCGCCGGAATGCTGCCGGTGAGAGAGTTTCGGGACAAATCCAGGGCCTGGAGACTTCTCCAGCCTGAAAGCTCCGGCGGAATGCTTCCTTCAAGCTTGTTGTCCCAGGCGAAGAAAACCTGGAGCTGAATTAACGATCGGAGTTCCGCCGGAATTCCGCCGGAGATTTGGTTCCGGTCGACCTGGAACTGCACCAGGCTAGTGGCATTGGAGAGAACTGCAGGGATTGTACCGGAGACGTTGTTACTGCTGAGCATAAGCTCTTCGAGCTTCGTCAGGTTGCTGAAAGATTCGGGAATGCCTCCGGTGAGGGAATTTAATGAAACGTCGAGAGTGATTAAATTTTTGCAGTTTCCGATCTCGTCGGGGACGGAGCCGACCAAGTTGTTCTGCCATAGGAGGAGCTGCTCGAGCTTCAGAAGCTTCCCGAGCTGCGGCGGAATCCCGCCGGAAAGTGAGTTTTCGTACAGGTGCAGGCCGACGAGTTCCGTACAGTTTCCGATCTCCGGCGGGATTTCTCCGGAGAGCATTGCGGTGTAAAGGGACAAGACTTGAAGCTTTTTCAGCATCCCCAACGACGGCGGTATTCGCCCCGAAATTTTGGTTTCAGCCAGGCCTAAAACCTGCAAGTTCCGGCAGCCGGAAAGTTCGCCGGGAATTTGTCCGGCGATGTCCTGATTCCCGCCGGCGCGGAATTCTTCCAACGCCGACAGGTTTCCGATTTCCGGCGGGATGTTTCCGCTCAGGCGGTTGTCAAATAGGACCAAACTTCTCAGGCGAGCGCAGCCGCCGAGCTCGCCGGGGATTTTTCCGGTGAGCTGATTGGAGTTGAGAATCAACTCCTCCAGGCTCCGGAGCCGGCCGAAGCTCGCCGGAATACTTCCGACGAGACTGTTGGAACTGACGTCGATTTTTTTGAGTGACCGCCATTCTCCGATGTCGTCCGGGAGAGTTCCGGTGAGATTCGCGCCGGAGATGGTGAGGCTTTCGAGGAATTGCAGGGACGAAAGATTGGAAGGAAAGGGAAGCTCGAGAGGTACGGATTGGACATTAATTTCTGTAACTCGATTGCTTGAAGAACACGAAATGAATGACCATTGACAGGGATTCGAGCTCTGTGGATTCCAATTAGCAAAAGCAGAAGAAGATTGAGCTAAGGAAGAAGACGAAGAAGAATGAAGCCACGACAGTAAAACAAGAACTTCCGTATTAGCTGCTGCCCTAATTTGAGAAGTTGCAGAAACTTCGAGGAGGACGAGGAAGAAGAACTGGATGAAGGTCCTGTAATGGCGGTGCAAGAAATTGGGGGCGGCGATCGAGAATTGCCTCGACATTGGGATTATTTTTGGGGAAAATCGAATTCTTGCTTCAATTTCAAAACCCTAAAAAAAATTTCAGCATTGGGTCTCCCCTCCTTGTCTTCTCGAGGTTACCGATCTCCCTGATTTCTTGAATTCTTCTGTTTTCAGCACAAGTTTAAATTTATTTAAAATTTTTTTTCTATGTAAGAAGAAGAACATCCAACAGAATAATCGTGGTGCTGGGACTTCCAGCGCCGGATCAATCTGCACCGTCCATCACAGTGCGGATGAATTTGGAGTAGAAGTCCCAGGAGTGGTGACAAATTAGACACTCCCACTAGTTTCTTTCTTGGGATTCTGTGATTATTTTTAGTTTAATTTGGGGCCAAAAAGTAATAATGAATAATGTGATTTGCAGAAAGAGAACGTGTAATTGCATTGAATCCCTCGCTTGGTAAATTTCTTTTTTATTTTTTGTGGGTAATTGTGCCTCCCTCTTTATTAAATTTTAAATTAATCACTAGTAAAAAAAATTAATTACTGGGCTTTGTAGAATAGGTCGAGATAGTATAATATTGAGAATAAAGTGGTCATTTTGTCAATTTATAGAAATTATTTATTTATTATTATTGTTATTTTTTGTACGGTGACGTGGGTTTGTTGAAGGGGGCGCGGCACATACACGTCGGTTTGTTTTATATATCCGGAAAATGTTAAATTAGCATAGCCCAACATTTCCCTCATTTTAAGGCCAATAATAATAATAATAATAATATTAGCAATAATGGAAAGGTCGCGCGCAAATGGGTCATTAATGCCCTATATCCGGTATCAATTTTTTGGTTTGTTATTTTGATGGTTTAAAATAGATCTTATATATATATAAAAGAGAAAAAATTATTTTTGTTTCAATATAACAAAAATTTATCAATTTTAGTCTGAATATAAATTTTTTATCAATTTTGGTTTTAATATAACCAAAATTTATTATTTTTTATCATAATATAACTAAAATTCAATCATTTTTTGCTCCAATATAAAATTTTATCAATTTTAGTTCTAATATAACCAAAATTCATCGTTTTTTTGTGCTAATATAATCAAACCTTTTTTTTTTGTCTTACCATCAACAAACCGACGGAAAATGCTGATGTGGACTTGCAAGATTGTGCAATTTCTTCGAATATAAATATAAGTTTTGATTTCCTTTCACGTCAACATTTTCTGTTCGGTTTATTGACGGTGGAATAAAAAAAAAAGTTTGATTATATTAGGACAAAAAATAATGAGTTTTGCTTATATTGAGACTAAAATTGATAATAATTTGATATTATGACCAAGAATGATAGAGTTTTGGTTATATTAGGACCAAGAATGATGAAATTTTGTTATATTTGGACCAAAATTGATGAATTTTAGTTATATTGAAACCAAAAATAATTTTTTTCCATATATATAATTACACTTTCTCATTTGTATTAAGAAAAAATCTTATAATTAAGTATTAATACAAAAATATTATTATCGCTATTTAAAAATTGATTTTTTAATGATAAATTTGATTTTTATTTTTTATTTTTAACTATTTATATATAAAATATTAATATTTTAAAATATATGCCACAAAATAAATAGATACACAGAGGTCCGAAGGAAGAGTATATGTGTTGTTGTAAGTTTAGAGTTATGATTTAAGTTCAATTTTACAATTAATTAATAAAATATTTTTTTGTAAATTGAAATGTAATAAATATATATATACACAATATAACTCACAAAAAAACAAACATGTAATAATAACAAATAAATAATGCATATGACTTCCATTACAAAAGTATAGTTCTTGGGTTTATATTTTATTTCTACCTTTTCCTCAACGCACGTAGTGGTGCACCCAATTCCCAAGACATTATTATTAAATCAATATATATATTAAAAAGAAAAAATATATATATATATATATATATACAAATTAACGTAATGGGCCTGGCATATGAAATGGGCTTTTCTAAAAACATCGAGCCCACTTATAAGCCCATTTAAAAATTTGGGCGCTAGTGGGTCATTTGATGGATCTTCCTCCTCCACTCTGGCCTATCGATCAAATGGGAATTTCAATGGCATCAAAATCAAACCAACCCATTTAATGGAGGCTGTGGACTGTGGGAACGTGATTTGGGGGGAGAATTGCAATGGCAACTGCATTTGTTATCTTCGTACGTTTTAGAGTGTGATTCACAGTCTCTTTCGTCTGAAATGCTTATGGAAGTTATTGAGGTCGAGAATCGCAATTATGATGAGGATTCGCAGATTGTTTCCGCAGCACATACGAAATTTCAGAGAGGTAAGGCAAGGCAGTCACTCTACGATTGATTGGACTGCTGCTGATCTCTTGCCGCGTGAAATGATACGTGTCTCTGTTGAGGATCATTCAACAAGCAGCCACAGGGATAATTCAGCTGCTGTCACTCGGATTTTGGCGTAAGTTTTGTGCTTTCAATTTTACTGTTTCATTGCTGAAACCGACACTGCGTTTTGCTCATCCACGTTATTTACGGATTTGTTTTTTTTTTTTTTATCATAGTTTTGATTGTTTCACTCATTGACAATGCATTCATATGAATTCGATATTGAGAGGTAAAATAACTGCAAAAAAAATGTCGATAAAAGCATATGGAAATACGCTTGATTATCCGTTGTTTCTTATGAGATCAGTCTCAGTCAAATACTACAGTTTAGGAAGCATGGAGTTAAAGCCTGTCGTGGCCATGGCAATCAATCGTAAGTCTATTTACAAATGTAATGATATAGTCATTCACTATTGGAGATTTGGGTATGAGAAGTGTTTTTTTCACTCGATCATGGTTTGGAATCAAATCTGATTATGTTATGTAAAAACTAAGCGTGGTTTGGTGTGTGAGTGATTAAAATCACATCATAGCCCGGCATGCTTCTTGAATGAACCTTTACGAATACACAACAGTAATAGTTATAATTTGAGTACAGAGGAGTTTCACTTCATTGTACAATCTGAAACTTTATCAAAGCTGTGTTTCGATACTTCAGATTCTAGTACAGTACTATAAAGAAAGGGGGAACTTTTTTCTCCATCTTTAGGGTTTTCAGTGAAATCCCAAGAAAAACAATTTTCTGCAGTGTTTTGGCTGACTCAGCTGGTCATGTAAATGTATTTTCCTTTGTTTGAATCGAAGTTTTCCACTATGATTTTGGATCCAAAATGGTAGGCCACGCTGTAAATTATGTTGTTCCCATATTGCAGAAGAATGAGTGATTATTGGGAGCCACAGGATCCAACTCACCAGATGAATCCCCACCGTCCATTTATATACCTCTAATCAGATATGCACTACGACAGGGGGGAGGAGGGTAGATTCAAGATTTTATGTAAATTAGATGATGTAGGGCCATTGAAGAAGTGAAAATCAGATGATGGGTTGTCTACTCACTCCTCATCGAGCAGCTTCCTTCTCAAAAAAAGCAAAGTCTGGGAATTGAAAAATGTCTCTCTCCCCCAATTCCAAAGGTAAGCGTGCACACAACAGATGTATAAAGTCACACATTAACTGACACGACCTCTGACTTTGTGTCCCTTCATGTTTAGTAGCCGTTGTTGTGCACAACAATAAACGTATTTTTTAGTGAAGAAAAACCATTTTCTTCATTTGTGAACAGTGATTGCAATACAACTTCTAATTACAGTTTCTCTACTGTTCATTATCCAGGTGGTGCTTTAAAAGGGCAGGATTTATATCATCAGAAAATTACACAGTCTTCGGCTTTCTCTCTCAAGAATTCATTAGGCGTCATAAAGTTTTGAGGTGGGGGGAAAGAGGATCTTGGTTAAGAAACATCATCAATGGAAGGGATCATTAAAGATGAAACCTTGGCACCTTTATTGTGGGGGGTGGACATCAATATGCTTTCTGCCAGGATTAAATTTAATGGAAAAGCAATCAACTGGACTTGTTTTGGTTGATTACTCTCACACAGTCAATTCTGTCAGTCAGCTTTCCCGAAAAGAAAACTCCTCTCAGTGAACAAGAAACCCCTCTCTCTTTCTCTCTTCTCTCTCTCTCTTTAATTTTCCATTAAAAATCTCTTATTTCTTCTTCTTTCTGCTACTTCTTTTTCTTTTCACTCTCTCCCCGGCTCCCCCATTTGCTTTCTTCTCTTCCATGGCGGCTGCTTGTCTTCTCTCAATATGCTTTACTCTTGTGCTAATTCTAAGTGCCTATTCTGCTTCAGATGTTGAATTGATTTTGAGCAAGATCAGGCCCTCACTGCAGGGAAGTGCAGAGAACTTACTGTTGCTGTCATGGAATGCTTCAGTTCCACTCTGCCAATGGAGAGGCCTAAAATGGGCTTTCAGCAACGGTACTTCTTTGCTCTGCACAGACCTTTCTTCTCCACAATGGACTAATGTTTCTCTGTACAGAAACCCTTCACTCCACCTTGTCTCGCTCCAGCTCCCATCAGCTAATCTCTCTGGAACTCTTCCAAGAGAGATTGGAGAGTTGACAAGCCTGCAAAGTCTCTATCTCAGTGTCAATTCGTTGACTGGTGCAATTCCTGTTGAGCTTGGCTACAGCACATCTCTTTCGGACATTGATTTGAGCCACAACTTGCTGGAAGGGTCAGTACCAGCATCGATTTGGAACCTCTGTGATGGCCTGATTTCCCTCAAGCTTCATGGTAATAAGCTCTCTGATTCTCCACCTGAGCCTGCATTGCCCGACTCTAATTGCAAGAATCTGCAGTTTCTTGATTTAGGACAGAACAGATTTGTTGGGAATTTCCCAGAATTCATAGTAGGTTTCCATGGTCTTAAAGAGCTTGATCTTGGGGACAACATGTTTTCTGGCCAAATACCTCAGACCATAACAGGATTGAAGCTGGAAACGCTGAATCTTTCCCACAACAACTTTACAGGGGTTTTGCCCAATTTTGTGGGTTCAAAGTTTGGGGCTGAGGTTTTTGAAGGAAACAGCCCTGGCCTCTGTGGGGCTCCATTAAGGGCCTGTAGTGGTACCTCTGGATTGAGCTCTGGTGCCATAGCTGGTTTAGTAATTGGCCTGATGACAGGCTCTGTGGTCCTGGTCTCATTGTTGATTGGGTATTTCCAAGGGAAGAGAAAAAAGAAGGTCGATGATGATGAAGAGGAGGGAGAGGAGTTTGAGGAAGGTGGAGATGAGGAAGCAGGAGGCAACAATGGTGGAGATGGGAAATTGATTCTGTTTCAGGGCGGGGAGCATTTGACTCTGGAGGATGTGCTGAATGCCACAGGGCAAGTGATGGAGAAAACTAGCTATGGAACAGTGTACAAGGCGAGCTTAACGGACGGCGGGACGATTGCTTTGAGGCTGCTTAAGGAGGGCAGCTGCAATGATAGGAAGTCTTGTTTGCCAGTGATCAAGCAGCTCGGGAGGATTCGACACGAGAATTTGATACCTTTGAGAGCATTCTATCAAGGGAGGAGAGGGGAGAAGCTTCTGATTTACGACTATGTGCCGAATAAGTCGCTTCATGAGCTCCTACATGGTAAGTTTTTATATTGATTTAGCTTCAATCTTCAATACATTCGTAATTATGTGAGATTGTCGTATGTTGAAAGTTTAAATTTATATATATATATATGGTGTATTTTGAAGAATCGAGAGTGGGAAAGCCGGTGCTGAATTGGGCTAGGAGACACAAGATTGGTTTGGGAATAGCCCGAGGATTAGCATATCTACACGGTCTCGAAACGCCGATCACGCATGGGAACGTGAGGTCGAAAACTGTGCTGGTTGACGACTTTTTTGTGGCGAGGTTGAATGAGTTTGGGCTCGATCGGATAATGGTGCCGTCAATGGCGGACGAAATTCTAGCATCGGCTAAAGCCGATGGCTACAAGGCGCCGGAGCTTCAGAGGATGAAGAAATGCAATTCGAGGACGGATGTGTATGCGTTCGGGATATTGTTGCTGGAGATTCTGCTGGGGAAAAAGCCCGGCAAGAGTGGTAGGAACGGGGAGTTTGTTGACCTGCCTTCGCTGGTCAAAGTGGCGGTCTTGGAGGAGACAACGATGGAGATTTTCGACATGGAGCTGTTGAAGGGTGTAAGGAATCCGATGGAGGAAGGGCTGGTTCAGACATTGAAGCTTGCAATGGGGTGCTGCGCGCCAGTGGCGACTGTTAGGCCGGCGATGGACGAGGTTGTAAGGCAGTTGGAGGAGAATCGGCCGAGGAATCGGTCTGCTATGTACAGCCCTGCGGAAACTAGGAGCGGGAGCGTTACTCCTTTCTGAGGTTAGTTCTTTGTGATTCGATTTGATTCGATTCGATTCAATTTGCATTGGTACTTAAATTAATGCTTAATGTAGTAGTTTAAGGATCAATTAAGGTAGACGATGAATGTGCTATTATTGAGAGAGTATCCATCCTATGTTGGTTTTGAGTCTCAATTCTATGTTTATAATATATAAATTTCGCAATACATGAATGATATGTTACAACATAGAACAACACTTCTTACCCTGCTTCTTCTTCTTCTTCTTCATAACCTCCTAGTTGTGAAAGCAGGCAGAGATTGATCAATGGATCCCTACAAATTAATTGTATCTATCTATCTATCTATATATATATATATATGTATCTCTGTGTGTGTGATTATATTCAGCAATGTAGGCCTTTGTGGCAATGAAGCACCCCAGCTTCTGAGGTCATGTTTCTTACTAAGTAAGAAGGTCTAGCTTGCAAGCTAGAGGCCTTGGTGTAGGCGGCGGCGGCGGCGGTGGTGCCGCCACCGGATGCGGTGAAATAAGCACCATTCAGTAGGAGATCGCCCTGCGATCTCCAGTTCCAGTTCTTCCCTCCATCAGGATCATTTGAATCCACGATTCTTTTTGTAACCTAATCAGAAGAAATCTTGATTAATTTAGGGTTTTGGATTTATTGAGTTCTTGAATCTGGGGAAGAGGAAGATTACTGATCACATACCTCTTTGGCAAAAGGGTTGTTTGGAGCAAAGAATCTGTTGCCCTGACTGTTAATGGTGGGATTTGCACTGCCTCCAATGGCATACATTTCCCAGGATGTGTAGTCGTTGTTAACCACATGGAAATACCCATGTCGACACCTGAAGGATAACAATAGAAATTAGAATTTAGATCATGAGTTATGATCAAGAAAATTGGAATCTGGTAAAATTCAATCTACCTTGGCATTCTCTGTGTTAATCCCTCTGCAAAATGGTTGTAAGCTATGGTGACTTGCATTCCTCTATCCCCTTCGTAGGCATCACTGTGCCCCAATAGCATGACCTGTTTGCATCTGTTCGTTAATGGCGGACAGTGAATTAGTTTAACTCATTAGAGTGAAAAGAGATTGGGATACTGACTGAATTGTGATGGCTGAAATGGTTGTTCGAAATTGTGATTGCTGTCGATCCCATCGTGGCGTCGATCAAGCCGTCGGAGCATTTGGAGAGGGAGATGTGATCGATCCAGATATGGCTGGAGCCGAAGATCGAGATCCCGTCGCCGTCGACGTTCGTCCGCCATCCGTACTGCGACGGCGAGGTTCGCACCATAGCGTTCCCCGTCGGCTTGCAGTCGTGGATGTGGACGCCGTGGACGATCACGTTCGTCGCTCGGTAAATCGCGACGCAGGCGCCGTTGGCGATGTGGACGTCGGCGCCGCGGCCGTCGATCGTCTTGAAGCTGCTGATTACCAGCTCCTGCTTTAGCGTGATCACCATGTCGCGCTCAAACACGATCCAGAGCGGCTCGTCCTGAATTGAGGCGTGCCGGAGAGTTCCTGGCCGGGGATTCACCGGATCGTCGTCCCTTGGGTCTGTAACGGTGTAGAATTTTCCGTCGCGGCCTCCGATTGCTCGCCGGCCAAATCCAATCGCACAGTCGGCGAGGCGTTTCCGGTTAAGCGTCCAGTTGCCGTCGCAGCGCCAGCAATCGTCGATAGGATTTCCACTTCCGCATGCAACGGTTCCTAAATTCCTCCTTTCCGTACTCTTTTGAATTGCTCTGAAATTACGAAGAGCGGATTAGTATTTCACTTAAAAGTTTAAATTTAAAAGGATACAATTATTAGTTGATGCTCAGAATGATAATGCAGTTGAGGAGGACGACTCACAGGTTAACCATGGCGGTTACTGATTCAGGATCCTCCATTGCTGCGCGCGCTCGCCGCGTCGACTCAAAACCTCTGCGGATTTCCGAAAATTACAGAATCATCAATTTCAGCTTAATCAGGTAAACCTAATTAGTCTCCAACTCCGATTATCAACAGACATTTCATCGTATTTCCAAAACCGAAGCTCATAAGCTTGAAATTGAAATTAATCGAGAGAGAGAGAGAGATCTGAAGCAAATTATAGAGTAGTTAGTTAGTACCTTATTTCTCTAGATGCGATTGTGATTGCAGTAAACAGCAGCAAAATCATCAGAAACGTGGAGAAAGCAGCACTACTTCTCGGAGAAACCGCCATTGTTGTTGCAGCTTAAGCACGATCGGTCAGTCTCTTTCTCTCTCTCTCTATAACAATCTCGATACAATGATCTCTAATTAGCTGCTGGAAACGAAGAATTAATGCAGAGAATGTTGGACAGAGGAACGGTTTTTATAGCAGCAGAAAACACGTACGAACAAGGAATGGAGTCATATACGAAGTCACTGCAAGGTATTGCTATTGCTCCATATTTTGCCTAATTATTATTATTATTATTATTATTATTATTATTATTCATTCATTCATTCAACTGTTCACCGAATTTCGTTAAATTAGGTTTTTCCCAACATCATCGTATATTATATATTCAAATTCGGTAATATTGAGGGTGTGTTACTGTGTTATTATATCAATCTCAAACAACATATTTTTCTTTTAAAAAAAAATAATATATTACATACATTTATTAATTTTATATTATTTACATAGTTTTCTCTAAATTTCACTTAAAAATATATATATATATATATATTCTTTCATTGATGGTCGCAACATTACTATTAGTTACAATTATTCATTGATTCGATTCTGTCTTAGATTGACATGCATTAATTAATTAATTAATTAATTAGTTAATTAATAATGCCAAGTCAAATGTTCGTTATTTCAATGAATTTATTTTGACTAATCTGGTCTGATTTGCGTCACTACAGTGGGTTCATTCCTGTGCCACTTCTATCATTATAAATTATTTATCGGTTAATTGGGTCACGTGTTTGACTTTGACCATATAATTCAACCAACTTGCATGGCTCATGCATGCACTAAACATTTACGTGGCTTTTAATTATTTACGTGTATTTCTTACCGTAACCTATGTTTCTTCCTAACGGTTAGGCTCGTTGGTTTTTATTGTCCGACTTAGTTTTATTTTATTATATTAATATTTAAATAGTTTAGTCAAACGTTGCCTAATACGGATATAGTGAGTTCAGAAAATGAACTAATTTCTGGCTGACAGTTGACCTTATTTCTATTTTTATCAGACAATCATGGGCACAGTTCGATGGGCCTCAACCGGTCCGGCCCAATCATATTAAGCTAATGCTGCAGAAATTGGGCCGAATTGAAGGCCCAACGAGTCACAAAATAGGATTCAATTCAAATGAAATTAGGTCAGGATATGAATTAAGTGTTTAAATTAATGTAGATAAGGGAATTAAGAAAATTAAAAAATATATTAATAAAAATAATTATTTTAATTTAAAATAATTTATAATTAAAATTCATCATTTAGTTATAGTAAATATTCAAAATGTTCGTATAATGAGTATTTTAAATTTTCACCTAACTTTATAATTTTGAAATTCATTGTATTGTCAAACATACGAAATTAATGGATGTGAAATTTTTTTAAACTCAATTTACTTCGACCAAAAGAGACTTTGATCGTAGTTCTCGAACGACCAATTGAAACGATTCTGGAAGAATTTGTTCTTTTATGCATATATATTGTATATATAGATATAAATGTGTCGAAATATATTGTTAGACACGCATAACTTACACATAGCAAAATTATTAAAATTATACTTCCTCCGTCCCAAAAGTAAGTATCCATTTATTTTTTGCACGTAGTTTTAGAAATAGTAGTACTCCCTCCATCCCATATGCCGTGTCTTCTACACTGTAATTACGGTATTTTAGAAGGGGTGTAATTAATAGATAATTAAGAATGTATTAGTGAAAATAATTATCATATAATATAAATAATTATAAATTAAGATTAAGATAACTAATTATTTTAATTAAAATTAAAAAAAATAAATTAAAAAATTTAAAATAAGATTAAAGTGTAAGTATTTTTCAAAAATGGAAAGTGACATGGAATGTGGAACGGACAGAAACGGCAACGTGGACATGGTATGGGGGACGGAGGGAGTATTATATTGGGATATAGTAGAAATAAAGTATAAATGACTAAAATAATCTTATTAGTACGTATGATATAAAGATAATGACATTTGTGTAATATATTATAAATTGTAAGAGTATTTGTAATATTAAATAGATAATACATTACTAAAAAGAAATTGATATTTTGTTATTGAGACAACTAAAATGGAAAAATGAATACTTTTGATATGGGACGGGGAGAGAATATTATACTCTCACATAGTTGCTGCGGATTTTCCACTGTCATAAAAAAAAATATATATATTAAAAAAAACAAAGATAGTAATAAAAGTTGTACAAAAATGAAGGCATGCAGATTATGAAATAAATTGATTGATGAATGTGTTTATTTACTTTTAAAAGCAATGAATTTAAATAATAATAATAATACAATAAAACAAAATAAAATAAAATCCGAGGTCTCAAAATTTTTATTGTGGCAGTGGAAGCAAAGGCACTGCGTGCAGTCTACAAACCGTACAAAACTGTATGTATAGGAGCAACAATGTATCTATCTATGTTATCTATTCAATATTTGAATTTCAATTCGTAATTCGTAACTCCTCACAAATGAAGTGACAAATCCAGCGCCTGATCTTTCTGCCTCTCCAAATCGCCGCCGTTCGCTCCACCTTGCCGGGAATAAGCCGCCGTCGCCGCCGTCCGATGACCGAAGCTCTCGTCTGCAACAGCAGTTCCATTGCTATTCCTGTACGCCTCGTTCAGGTACCTCCCTCGCTGCATCATCAAACCATTCTCGAACCTCGCCGCGCCACCGTTGGATCCGGCCATATGGTGGCCGCCGGCGCCGGCCTGAAAGTGGCAGAGACTGGCGGCGTGAGGGGTAATATAAGCGGCGGGGCTGAAAATACCGATAGGATAGTTGGGCGAGAACAGCAATGGCGGTGGAATTAGGGCAAAATCGGAAACACGTTTGTTCTTCCTTGCAGCACTGCGCTCCTTCTTATGGGCGTTTTGGTGTCCTCCCAAAGCCTGCGAGCTGTGGAACTTTCTAGAACAGTATAAACAGGGGAATGACTTCGCTGAATCCTCTGGCTTGTTGTTACCACCGTTGGATGATCCATGAGCTAAATCCTCACCGTCCATTCCCTGCAGCAACAGTTGTAGCAATATGAGATGGATGATGGAAAAAAGAAGAAGAAAAAAAATGAAAAGCCAAAAATCAACAATACCTCCATGGATTTGGTAAAATCTTCCAGTCTCCAAACCTGTTAATATTATTGCCTCTTTCAAGTATGAGAAATGAATGAAGAAGAGATAATGGTATTTTCTCACCTTATAAAAAAGAGTGCATTTTGCTGTAAAGACTGTGTATAATGTATGTATGTATATGTATGTATGTATGTGTGTGTGTGTATGGGCTCTGAAGAGCAGAAGAGATAAGAGAAAAGATAAATGTGGGAAGTGGGTAGTGTATATAGGTTTGTGAGAATTGGGGCAAAGAGAGTGATTGGTGAGAACTCTATCTCTCTCTCTCTATATATATATATGTATATATGTGTGTGTATAATTGCATGCAAGATTGGGAAATGGAATCCATCCAAGTCTGACTGACACTAGTGTGTTTCCTTTTGCAGGCAATTTTCTTAGTGTTGTTTGGTTCAGTTTCTTGTGCTATCTTCAATAATGGTGTCTCTCTTTCTCTCTCTCTTACAGATTGATCATCCATTCCATCCTATCCTATCCTATCAGGTTTGTGAACTAATCTCTCTATACTGTCCAGCCAATAGAACAGTAATCAGAATAGCCCATTCAGAGACCTTAATTATTTCACTGTCATCTCTGCTGCACTCTGCACCATATTTTTGAGTAAACAAATGATACCAGAAATGGAGAAATGTTGGGGGAATTAACAACTCCCAATTGGTCACATATTGCCTGTTAGAGGGTAGACTATCTATCTATCTATCCCTAATTAGATGCCTGCCTATGTATGTAAATACATATATATATATATATTCTGAAAATGCAATAAATAGAGAGATATGGGGAAAAGGGAGCAGACCCATGTTTTGATCAGAGTCTCCACCGCCAAATTCAATTTCAGGACAAGTTGGTGGCTTGTTTTTTCCATTCATTTCATCATCTGCACTGCACTGCACTTTCCACTGCACACAAAAGTGAGAAAGATCATTATATCAGTGGTCCATTTTCCCAAATTTGGCATCTTCCTATGAGATCAGATCAGATTAGATTCAGAGACACACACACCCCTCTCTCTCTCTCTCTCTCTCTCTTCTTCTTCTTCTTTCTCTTTCTCTCTCTACTATTGTCAGCTCCAACAACTACTACTACCTCCCATCAGCTTCTTATAATACTATTTCATTCATGCTTTCATATAGAGTAAATTCATTACATTCCTTACCTTACCTGTGTTCTTTTGGCTTTTCCCTTGCAGGCTTAAAATGTGTAGTAGCAGTAGCAGTAGGGGGTTGTGGCCCCCACCTTACACATCATGGCCTGTAAAATTTTGGAGAGAACACAAAATGGGAAAGAAGATGGTGAGTGAGATTCAACCCCATATGCTCTTTTATAATGAATGGCAACCAAACTCACCCATTTTGGGCCACTTTTTGACATCAAGGGATGATCACATTTTTGAACCTCAGATATAAAGGACAACATAGGAGGAAGAACCATTTCATAACCATCGAATTCAAAGCTAGGAAGCATCAACAATTTTTAGCAGATCTTCATACATGAAGGCAAGCAAGGTTACAGGCACAACAAGTTTATGAAACTCTCATAATTACACAACATGAATCACTCACTGTCTATAAAATAGTTTCCTGGAAGCAGTCGCGCTTGGCGTTCTGGGAAAGGATAAATGTATACTAAAATCGAACGGCGGTTTCAAGCTCTAGTAAAGAATAATGTAAATTGGAGGAGAAGAATGTTGCTCACAAATTTAGGAGCAACCAAAGCATGTTCGCATTGAGAAAGGGCTGGACTCTCTAGGCTCTGGATCGGGCTCGATTTTCTTGCATGGAAAATGTTTCAAGAATGCTTTCACAGCTCCTTCAACCCCATCTTCATTTTCCATGGCCTTAGCAAGTTCTACGGCTCGCTCCTTCACCTGTGCAAGAATGTAATTGAGTTTTGCTGCATTGGAGCCAAGTGTATCTATTCCATTTATTGAATTTCAGAAAGAAATTAAACAAAGTTAAATAACATCAAACATGTGAAATTTGTTCATATGTTTTTCCAATGTGATACCATGAAGCAATAACTTTTGTTAAGACGTCAGCCTAATGATTAATGAGTTAAGTGCATAGAACTCTTTGAAATTTCAGATTTGTAATCCATAAAATGAAAGAAAGAAAGTAGATCAAAGTACCTTCTCATCCAGCATAAATTCAATTGCATCAACTAACTTTTTGAGAGAAAAATCGTCTACTGGAATCGGAGGAGGTCCAACACCTCTGCCATGTACTCTCTCCCCCCAGAAAGGTTGGTCGCCAAAGAATGGGACGATAGTGGTTGGACACTAAATAGAATATAAATAACAAGCTATCAGGTAGAGTAGCAGATGCGGGTTTCCACGCAATTTAAAAAAAAAAAAAAAAAAAAAAAAAAAGAAAACAAAATATACTCAAGCAAAACATAAATAGCAAGATCAGTAGTTCAATTTTTTATTTTTAATTACCGCAGCTTTAAGACCAGCAGCTGTTGTACCAGCGCCACCATGATGCACCTAAAACCATGTTGAAAATAATGAGAATCACTATTCAAGCTTTGATTTAATGTCCAAATGTGCAAGAAAGTTTCTTAGGGTTCTCAAAATTTAAGCATCATACACACCTAGAGTGCAAAAAATAAGCCAGATTGCTGCCAAAATACCCCATTGCAGTATTTGAAACATATACATATAATTTTTTTAGGTGCTGCTAGAAATGCATCGGAAGATGTTTTACACATTAATTATATCATAATGAGAAGAATACTTTCAAGACAAATATGTTAAGCATCAACTAGTATATACACATTCAAGATTCGTAACAAAATTCCCTTTTATCTTTTAAAGTTAGATTAAACAAAAAAAAAAGAAAAAAGAAGAAATAATTTTGTATTTAAAAGTAGTATCGATACAACAATTTCACAGAAAAACTAACCACTGCAGCACAATGTGGGAACAGCCAGTCATGAGGACAATTGTCCAACAGATACACAAAGTCTTTTGCTTCTGCCACTGAGAACATTCATAAATTCTGCATGAGCTAAGGTAAATTGATAGTGAAATTTTAATTCATGGTTTGGCTAAAGAACGAAAAGAAAACTCACAGCTCCCAAGGCCACCCCAGCCTTTATTAATAATGCCTCTTTGTTTAGTTTTTTCTAAAGCTTCAACAATAATTTGAGTCATTTTTGCTGGTTCTTGAACAGGCTGAGATGATGAAGACAAAAAGACTGAACTTAGAGTTAAAATTAGACTGCCAAAACCCAATATCAAGAATAGAAAATGGTTGAGATGAACAAGGTGACTCTTTGTACTTACAAGACTGCCGAATCCAATATATATAGGCTTTGGACCAGCTTTTAACCAGTTCACAAGTGACTCAGGTGGCTCATAATTCGATGCAAGATCAAGGAAGCAAAATCCAACAACATCAACCTTTGGTCCCCAGTCTGCAAAATCATGAGTTAATTGGCAATTGTTACATAGATGAAGAATAGAGGTGCTAGTTTGTAATATGGTACATTGCTAATTCACTTGAGGAAGTTCAAAATTTCTTATCATCGAAGAAAACGACTACCTTTGGGCTTAGGAACAAGGTGGGGACTCCAGATATATCCATGAGGAATATCAGAGTCAGAGCCTTGAGATCCACTCAAATATGTGACTGGTCGCAGCTTTAACTTTTTTTTCCTAACATCATTTATCATGTCTCTTATTCCTAGCCAAATCAAGGAATCAACTATCTGATATGATAACTGCAAATTCATTCAAGAGTGTCACAGTAAGAAAGTTTAATGTAATATTCAATACAATAAGTATTGTAAACACACTCTGTATCCTGCTGATTGCTTAACACGCGATAAAGGATGTGGGAAGTCGACAGTTGGCCTGGCAGAAAACATAGCAAGCTGGTTAACAAAATGTACACACTTTTTAGTTATTTCCAACAATATCTTATTTATTTTGACAAGCATGAATAACAACTATATTTCCATCAAGGAGTCAAAAATATTAAAAGAAATCTTACGTCCAGGGCATCGTGAAAAATATATGAATCGGTATTTTCAGTGCTTCCGCAACATGCGTATGTCCTGTATTCTCAAAGTTAACAGGCAAAACACAATAATATTTGTCAGTCAACCAAATCAAGAAAAGGTGAGCTTGCATATAATAAATTATACCCACATTCTGAATTTATGTTACATGAATTTACAAATGAAGCCCATGGTACATGTTAAACAATGTTTTCTATAATTCCAAACCAGCAGCTTAAAGCAGTCCTTCCATCATTTGGGATATTCATTTATTCATCATCTATAAATCCGAAAGAGAATGTAAAATGCTGGTCTACCAATGATACAGCGTAGTAAATGTTCAATATAAATTCTGTATAATTCCAAATCAGCAGCTTGAAGCAGTCTTTCCATCATTTGGAATATTAATTTATTCTACATCTATAAATTCAAAAGAGAATGTGAAATGCTGATCTTAAAACAAGGAAACACAAAGGCAGGTACATCTAGTCATGCAATCTAACCATATGCAGGAGGATTGGCAATGATTGCATCAGCCTTGAACGAAATCCCAGAATCAATATCAGGCTCTCTACAAGCAGGAAGCAAAGAGCTAATTATGTCCTTCATCTGACTTCTTTGTACAGGTATCTCTGAAGGTCCAGAAGGTAGAAATCCTTTATTTTTCACCATATCTGAAGAAGAAACAGAGCATTTAGTCATCATTGTTTTGATATAACCATTAACACTAAATTAGAATCAAGATTTCTTTGTCCAGGCCAGAAACTCAATATGACTTTCTAATTGTCTTGCATATTTTTCTAAAGAGTTCAATCTTATTCCTAATACCACTTACTTAAGAATGAATTGTCTTATTTCAGCCTTCTTGTGGCCTTAGCTCAATAGGATTGTGCTAATAAACTTATTTGATTTCAGCACGTGGACTTTGATTTATCAAGATAAGTCCCCAATAAATTTTAGGAGGTAGCTTGGTTGTGGAGTCACCACTGAGCTTCTTGCAAGAGTTTGTGCGAGTTTTCTATCAACAGGTGTATTAAATATGTTAAAAACATAAGAATCTATCATGCAATATGACGAGAATGAAAATAAGAACTAGAAACTATTGAAAAGAAGAAGTATGAAAATTGTGCAAAACAAATAGCATCAAAGATTCAGAAAGTATATTCAGATAAATAAAGAGAACAAAACAACGAAACAGACAAGTTGGGGAGGAAGACTATGGAACTAGTGTGGCTTACAAAATGCCTCAGACTATTAGCAGAAAGAGCAAAGGCATACTGCAAAAAGAAATATCATCGAAGAAAGATAAATCTTCAAAACACCATCAAAGAAGGATAAATAAAAACCATGAGCCAACTAAAAATGATCAAGCCAGTGCCAGCATAAGGAAAGGCAGGGAAAACATACATTCAGCAAGAACCTTAGGATCCCCACCAAGCGGATAGAATTCTAACCCAGATGTCAGTACAAACTCTTTGAAATTGGAATGAGTAGCCAATCTAACACGATGGCCAAAATCCTGCATCAGAGCATCTCATCAACAAGAACCCAAAAGGTATTTCAGCAATAATACTGAAATTAAAATTGTTCAAGAAATTGTGTATCTTTGTGTTCAGAGCATTGCTTTGGAAAATATTGAATTGAAAACAAGTGTTAATATAATATATTCAATAAAAGTTGCTAGCACAAAAATAGGATTGAGTACATAAAGAAACATTCCCTTCAAGCCACTAAAAAACTTATCACAGGTTAAAGTTTACCAAGTAATTTCGCATACTTAGAAGTCAATATGCATTTGTATCATATTGAAACACATACCTGCAATTTTTTTCCAATGGCAACAAATGGCTGTACATCTCCACGTGTTCCAACTATAAGCATCACAATTTGCAATGGAGGAATGTATGGAAGTTCTGTTTCATCAATGGGCTCCTCATCCACTTGACCATGTATGCTTTCAGTTCCAACTCCAAGAGTTTCAGGTGTAACATCTCCAGATAATTCAAATTCTACTGTACCATCATTTTTAACAGTAGCAATTCTGTTCAACAATTGGAGCTGCAGAGTTTCAAATATTTAACGAAAATCCCAGGCCCACATTTCGTCTCACAACACGAACACTGTCTCTTACTTCTAAACAAAAGGTAGGCAAAATAATAGAATAATCTCACCTCTATTCCAGTATAATACGAAAGATTTACTTAACTCAATTATAAAATACTTAAGAAACGATTTACTTCAATCAATTATATATGAAAACTTCTGCCATCCCATGAATAAATAATTGAATACAGCATTGTGTTTAGCCAAATATTAAACACTAAACTAGAGGATTCAGTTACCCAATCTCACATACCACAATATATATGCATCCCTTAACTATAAGACAAGATTGGGGCCAGTTATTTATACCAATCTTTAAGCCTCTAGTTTCGAGATCACAGTAAGTGTAAACCATAAAATCATATATAACAGAAACTTGTTGAATTCAGAAACAATCAATATCAACCCATTGTATGTAAGTCAACAAACCGATCAGTAGAAACAATAACAGAAAGGATGTTTACTTTCTTCTGTGCAGACATCCGGTCGTCAAAAATTTGAGCAGCCTCTTCCGGCCGTATGTTGCAATGACTTTGCCTCTCCGTCTTGGATCGTTTTACCACCAGAGGTGGCTCTATCTTCACGTGGTTCGAAATTTCTGCCGGCATAGTATTTGCCCTAAACATACCTGCCCCGGCAATATCATCTGCAACAACTCTTTCATTACGAAATCACATCCAACAATACCAAAATCAAAAGGAAAACGTCCCATCAAACATGACCTCACGAACCATTACAAATGATTTATACAGATGTTTGCATCAAAAGTAAACCCTAAATTCACCTGAACACTTCCCGGCGCCATTGGAGAACAGAACAGTGTTGACAGGTCTACTATCGACCATAGCAGCAGTGACCCCAGCATCATCTTTCTCGAACTCCACAGAAACTTCACCGGAGCTCAGAGAAGAGTTCCCATCTCTAACCTGTTCTGCAGACGGCTCCACCTCCTTCGAACGACTCCGCGGTTGATCCAGATCTGCCGAAGCTTCCATTGACAATTATTTATCGATTTCACATGCACACATGTCTCACGTAGTGAACTCCTGAGTTCGTACGAGAATATCTGGAGAGGAGAGGAGAAGAGCGTCGCCGGAAAGTGGAACCAGATGGCGTGTAAAAAACCAAAAGACAGCAACGCCGGCGGCGAAGGCTTTTGTGGTCAATTCACAAAAAGTTAAAACAATCAGCTCTGTAGCAGTGAGATTGAACTTTGAACGCCACTACAGTAGTATCAGTGAAATTACCATTTAGCCCCTAGACTATGAGATTGCAGCAACGTCTTACACCCTGTTCCCCCTATTTTCTATATTTTCATCAAGTAACTTGTTATTTCTATTTTAAAAAATATAATTATGCACTTTAATCGTATTTTAAATTTTAAATTTTATAATTTTTTTAATTTTTATTAAATTATTTATTTATTTTAATTTTAATTTATAATTATTTTTACTAAATAATAATTATTTTTACTAATACATTTCTTAATTACTTACTAATTATACTTTACCTAAATTCTCGTGTCTACGGTAATACATCCATATTACATGAGACGAAGGGAGTATCTATTTTCTCGAATCATGCAAAGTGTAGCCGTTTGAAAGGCTATTTGGATTTTATAGCAAATTAATAAATTATATTCCCCCGATTTACTTTAAACACGAGGATTTATAAATAAATAGATAATTAATAATATATTAATAAAAAGATTTCATTCGTCTCATAATTAGGTATATATTATAAGTTATAAGGTATCTTTAATGTTAAATAGATAATACGATTACTAAAAAAAAAAAGAAAATTGATACTTTGTCGTTGGACGAACTAAAATAAAAAAATAAAACAAAAATAGTTTGGTATGGAACGGAATGAGTAGTTATCATATATATATATAATTATAAATTAAGATTAATATAAATAATTATATTAATTAAAATTATAAAAGAAATAAATTTAAAAATTTAAAATAGATTAAAGTTTGTAAAATATTTTTTTAAAAAAAGATGTGATATGAAATGTAGTACAGACAGAAATGACCATGTGACATGGTAAGTGGGATGGATGAGATAGTATTTTATTAAATAATAGAATTATGTAAAAAAATTTGACATTTTTATCATTTGTAAAAAGTAGTTAAAAGATTTAATAGTATATTTGTAAACAAATTAAAAATTAAAGATATTTTTATATTAATATATAATTATTTTTTAAAATAAAAAATAGATACTTCTAAATGTGACATGTGAAAATAATACTTTAAATTGAGACTAATTGAATAATTTTGTTGATAATTGCAATGATTTATTTGGTCGGGTTTTTTTATTTATAAAATATAATAAAAATATATTTTTAAAAAATACTCCCACATGGTGAATTGACACTTTGATTATTGACAAATTAATAAAGAGTAACGTTTGTTTTTTTACGTATAAATTTTTTAATATTAATATTATATTGGGTTGTTAAAAAAACAAAAATATTCTTATCAGTACCAATGGTACTCTTGTTTTGGGATGAATGAAAATGGAAAATAAAACCCAGATTGAGGGGTGGTATTATTTTATTACAATATTCGTCTATTTTATATTTATTTTTTATTATTATATTTAATATTAAAAATATCTTTATATTTGTATATATGTTTTTTTTTGTATAAATGTCGTAACATTAGTATTAGACATTAATAGAAGTATTGTTTAATTTGTATTATATTTTTATACAATAATTAATATTCAAAAATCAATACTTAAAAATTAAATGTGCCATAAGAGCCGGGCATAGGTAATATTTTTTATATAATTGATAATATTAATAGTTTTAAAATAAATTTAATACGTGTGATTAAAAAAATTTAGAATATGTATTTAAATCTTTTAAAAATTATATCTCAATAAAAAAATATATACAATATAAATATCATTTAAAAGAATTTACAATACAAGTAAATAAAAAATATATGTGTTTATTTATTTGTAATTAATAGTATAAACTAATTTTATAAAATATGTGGAGTTTTAAACATAGATAAAGAAAAAATATTTATTTTTTTATGAGAGAAATAGAAATAAGTTAGTTTTGAATTAGTATTGCATGTACGAAGGTATGTATGTTGTATAGTTAATTAAATTGATTTAGAGTTGTTAAATAAGTTATGATTTAGTAAATTTTACTCAAAATAGAAATGTATTGCTTGTTATTAAACATATAAAAAAATTTTTTAAAAAATAACAATTAAGATGGGACAGAATATGCTTTTGGATTTATTATTATTATTCTTTTCCTTCTAATTCAAAATGTCATTTGATCAAATTTAATACTCTGCAAACTATATCCGATAAAACAAATCACAATAAATGAACCATATGTGATCTCACGGTCATGAGTCCACTCTAACATTATCAGTCATTCTTCGTGGTACAACTATAATTTGAATGAAATAAACAAAATTTTCAAAAGATATACTCCATCCGTCCTAAAAAAATATTGTCTTGTTTTTATTTTTTTATTTTTTATTTTCGTTTGTCTGAAAACAATTGTTCTATTTCCTTGTTTAGTAATTCTGATATCTACTCTATAAAAAAGATTATTCATACTTTTCTAAACAATTCATAATTATTACTCTAACTTACTTTTTTAAAATATTTATAAAAAAAAAAAGTATTTTAGTCTTTTTAAATACTATTATTCATTGATTATCGTACTAACTTCCAACAAGACACTTCTTATGAGACAAAAAGAGTATTTTGAATTGAAACAGAGTGACTCAATCTGTCCTTAAGAATAATACAATTTTCTATTTTTGTTCGTCTAAACAAGGGTATTATTTTATAATTTATTTATTATACTATATACTTAATATAATAAACATTCTTACAATTATATAAATAACTTACTTTTATATTACATCGTAATAATACGAATATTTTTGGTTTTTTACTACAAACTATTATAACAATAATATTAAAAAATTTACTTTAAAAAATATATATATATTATTATGAAACAAGATAGTATTATTTCTAGATTTACCGTATTATCGGCCAATCAGCATTCTGAACAGGGTAAGTAGGAAGCTCCTAGAAAAAAATATAAAATAAAATACAATAAAAACAGCCAATCAGCAGTTTGAGCAAATTAGGTAGTCAATAATAAATTAATAAATTAATATATGAAGAACCGACCCCACTTCAATTGACACTGCGACACAGTTTCTGCGGCAGCCAGGCGAGATTTCGACGACGATTCCCGTAAGATTCCTCATATTTTCTTTACATTTTCTTCCGAGAGATTCGATTATCCACTGAAACTCCACAATCCATCTGCAGTTTTTGAAACGAAGACCATCTTTTGAAATGGAGAAAGCCATCAACAGACAGAGAGTTCTGCTGGGGCACCTCATCACTAGCCCGTGTTACGATCGCCACTCTCGTGAATCATCATCCCTTTATGTAAGTTTATTCCCCGCGGATTTGGCATTTTTTTTGGTATTGAATGCTACCAGTTGATCGTCGGCCATTTTAATTTGGCTAGGGTTAGGGATTGTTTCTGAATCATGCCTGTTTTTAGTACTATTGGTTGGTTGATGTATAAATGGCTGAAAAATATTTGTCCATTAAGACCGTGCGAAAGAACAATTTTGAGCCCTAAGGAATTGTTGAGGATCAAAATTGATTCGAGTGGCGATTGGAATAGTAATTGATGATTGTTGTATTGGTTTAATCATGAACGCCTTTATTGCCATGGCAGCCTTCTGTGTGTTTGGCTGGTGATGTTTCTGCTTATCGTAGAACTGCTGCTTTTGGAGATGATATCGTCATTGTCGCGTGAGTTCATTTCCTCTTAGAACTCCATTTTTGTACATTCTCTCAGCATTCTGCAAATTTATTCTGCAATTCACATATATATATATATATGTATGTAATTATGTATCGTTTGTGTATCATCATGTCTTCCAGAGCTTGTCGAACAGCCATTTGCAAATCTAGAAAAGGGGGATTTAAAGACACTCTTCCAGATGATTTACTAGCTGCTGTGCTGAAGGTGAGTTTTTGTGCTAATCGAAGCCGAATTCCCCGAGCATTGTAATGTAAATTCCGAAACATTTTTTTGAGTTTTGCATTTAACTGATGTCAACTCTTGATTTCGGTGCAGGGTTTGATCGACAGAACGAATCTGAATCCAGCTGAGGTTGGAGATATAGTGGTTGGAACTGTTCTTGCTCCAGGTTCTCTAAGAGCTATCGAGTGCCGGATGGCTGCATTCTATGCCGGTTTTCCTGGTATTATCATCTTTACTTTCTATCGGCTTTTGTTTCCTATTTCCAAGATTAGTGGTCAGCACAAACAATCGAATCCTCTGCCTGTCATGAGCATGTTCTTGACTAGATCTTATTTTATTGTTTCGCCAGATTCTGTACCGATTAGAACTGTGAACAGACAATGTTCCTCTGGCCTTCAAGCTGTTGCCGATGTGGCTGCCTTCATACAAGCTGGATATTACGATATCGGTAAACAGGAAACTAAACACTCTTCTAGTTTGCATCCATCCCTAACTTTTGTTTTGGTACAGGTGTTGCGGCCGGGTTGGAATCCATGACTGTGGATAATGTCGACCCATTGAAGACGGTTAATCCAAAAGTACGTACAAGTTTGTCCTATCTCCTGTCTCTGTTCGATGTTGTTTTCATCAGTTTGGAGACGAGCTTTTCTGTTCACAGGTTGAGATTTTCGCTCAAGCCCGCGAATGCCTTCTTCCGATGGGCGCCACTTCTGAAAACGTCGCAGAACGCTATGGAGTGACGCGCGAAGAGCAAGATCAAGCTGCGGTGAATTCAGAATTGATCGATTCATTCACATTGCGACGAGAAAAATTTATGTGAAACTCACTTTAATTCAACAGGTCATCTCCCATGAGCGCGCTGCAGCTGCTGCTGCCTCCGGGAAATTCAAAGAAGAAATAGTTCCGGTTTCTACAAAGGCACAACGAAATTCTTGAAGAAAACTATCGTAATTTGTGTAATTGCATCATGCTTACCAACTGTTTTTATACTCTGTAGATTGTCGACCCGAAAACTGGCGAGTTGAAGCAGGTTACGATCTCAGCCGACGATGGCATTCGCCCGGGAACGAATATGAGAGATCTGGCGAAACTGAAACCTGCATTCAAGAAGAATGGAACGACAACTGCTGGTAATGAATCGATCTGTCGATTTCTGTTCTTACCTGTTTAAACGAAGCATCTCGATTCGCTACGTCTCAGGGAATGCGAGCCAGATCAGCGACGGTGCCGGGGCAGTTCTTCTCATGAAACGAAGCTTGGCGATTCAGAAGGGACTTCCGATCCTCGGAGTATTCCGGTGCAGTAGATACTACGCTTTGTCGATTCATCGAAACCGATCGTTACGTAATTTCATTTTTTGAGTCGAGTTAATTTCGCAGGAGCTTCGCTGCCGTCGGGGTGGAACCGGGCGTCATGGGCATCGGCCCTGCGGTTGCGATTCCCGCCGCCGTCAAGTCAGCTGGTCTGAACCTAAGCGACATCGACCTATACGAGATCAACGAGGTATTACGCTACGTGTAAAAAGAAAACGAAAACATTAAACGCAGCGTTATACGACAATTACAATTCGAATTGCAGGCGTTCGCGTCACAGTATGTCTACTGCATCAAGGAACTCGGGCTCGACGTTGAAAAGGTTAACGTCAACGGCGGAGCGATGGCGCTCGGGCATCCTTTGGGGGCTACGGGTAATAAAACTTACGGCATTTTATCCGTATCAACGGTTTTGTCGTAAATACGATTCGTAGTTCGTGAAAATCGAGCGACTGGATTTATTACAGGAGCGCGTTGCGTGGCTACGCTGCTTAACGAGATGAAGCGCCGGGGTCGGGACTGTCGTTACGGCGTAATATCGATGTGCATAGGTAGATAAGATTTTTTTAACCCCGTGTAACTTTTTCTTTTTTGGCAAGTTATTATGTTTGGTTGAAAGTTCTAATAAATGTGCGTTGGGAGAGCAGCGATTGCGGATTTTGAAGATAGTAAATGTTGAATTGGTTTTTTGTAGGGTCGGGGATGGGTGCCGCCGCCGTGCTGGAAAGAGGGGACGGCGCCGACGAGCTGTGTAATGCACGCGCCGCCTCAGGCGGGAGGTTCTTGTCGAACGATGCTAAGTGAATTATGTGGTAAAGTTGTGGTTGTGAGTCTGTGAGAGACGATGTTAAGGTTGTCTTTCGAGCATTGGCTTGTCAGAACAGTGAAAACTGAAACGGTTTAATAATAATAATGATAATAATAATAGAACTCTTCCTAAGAAGATGTATCTATTTTTCTATTTTAATCCGTCTCATTCTATCTAACATTACAAATACCCTTACAATTTTCAATATATTATACAAATGTCATTATCTTTATATCACATATATTAATAATGTTATTTTAATGTTATTTTAGTTATTTCTATTTTATTCCTACTATATATAATATAATACTAATATTTCTAAAATTACGTGTAAAAAATAAATGAATATTTATTTATGGAACGGAGGGAGTATTATTTTTTATTTTTGTCCGATCAAAAAATATATATCATTTTCTAATTTAATAATTGTACTATATATTTACCATAATTCATACCTTTTCAATTTCTAATATATTACTCCCTCCGTCCCACATACCATGTCCACATTACCATTTCTGTCCGTCCCACATACCATGTCACTTTCATTTTTTTGGAAAATGATTACACCTTTTAATCTCATTTTAAATTTTTTAATTTTTTTTTTTTAATTTAAATTAAACTAGTTATCTTAATCTTAATTTATAATTATTTATATTATAACATAATTATTTTCACTAACATTTTTTATTATCTACTAATTACACCCCTCCTAAAATACCGTGTCTACAGTGTAGCAGACACGGTATTTAAGGAGGGAGTACAAATTAGACATTTTTGTTTTTAATATCAATATTAAAAAATCTAGTAAATGTTACTTTTTTTTCAGGACGAAGGTAATGATATAGTAATATTCGATTCTCGTTAATGTTTTTAATATTTTTTATTATACAATTCAATTTTATTTTTTTCATAAAACTTTTATGTATAATTTTTTTCAAACATCACTTCACATAATCAATACTAACAATTCTAATTTAGTAATTGTTACTTGTATATTACACAAATATCATTACTTTTATATTACACAACACTAACAAAAGTATTTTTTATTTTATTTTTATTACAAATCAGTACGATATTAATACTAAAAAGTTAAAATGATATTCTTTTTACGAGACAACAAGATATATTATTATATATTCCCTCCGTCCCATATTTATATATCCATTTGCTTTTTGCACGGAGTTTTAGAAATATTAGTATTATATTGGGATAAAGCAGAAATAAAGGTAAAAAACTAAATTAATCATATTAGTATCGTATGATATAAAGGTAATGATATTTGTGTAATATATTGTAAAGTAGATAGTACAATTATTAAAAATTGAAATAGATACTTTGTTATGAGATAGATCAAAATAAAAAAAAAATAAAAAAATGGATAGATTGTCAAGGGAATGAGAGAGTATTTCACTTATTTTTATCCTTGTAGATACGAAATTTTTAAAAAATTGATATAATTAAAAATTATATTAATTAAAATAATTAGAATCCAATACAAATAATTATGTATTAAAATTAAAATAATTAATTAATTTAATTAAAATAAAATATTTATAGATTATGAAATATAGAATAAAATTAGAGAATATATAAATATTTTTTAAAAAGTAGACAAAATATATGAGATGAATTATATAACAAGCTAGGCTAGTTATATTGAGAGAAAGAGAGTATAATCAAATGCCTAATATTTAACTATATCAAAATTTAAAAAATGTCTATTCGGATGATAGTGTTAATATAGAATCCAAACACATCATTAGTATAAAAAAATATTAGTAATAAAATACACTTAAATTGTTACAAATAATAACAACAACAAAACCAATAATAATAATAATAATAATAATAATAAAACTTGAACTCCAAAAATAAGAATAAAAATAAAAATGATTATCTACCAACCATGTCCTCACCTGGAGAGCGGACAATCAAAATACAGAACTTGGACCATAGTCATCAAAATTTCCCCCTCAATCTTGGAAAGGTCATTGAATGTCCAAATTTGTTCTCTTGTGAATTTTACCTTTTATTTATTTTATTAATTTTTACAACATAATTTTCGTAAAAATAAATACATACAAGTCCCATGAAGAATAGTTTAATGGTGACAAATCATACCTTTAAATTTCGAGGCCTCCAAATCTTGTCTACGAATTTTCACATTATATATAAAAAATGCTAAATTATACAAAATTCATGTGTCGTTTCATGAAATTGTATGAAATCCCCCGTACTTTTAAAATTGTATCAAACTCCTTCGTAGTTTTATAGACAGAAGGAGTTTCATAGACTTTGGTCTAACCCCTAAATCGTCCTTATTCAAGGGTATTTGACCTACATGCGTTCAAACTGCAAATAAATTTTAGAATTTTAATTTATAAACCCCTGAAATTACAAATATATATTTTTTTATATTTACCCTAAAAAATAGTAAATATACTAAAAAATAGCTATTTTTCTCAAATTTTAAAAGTTTATTTTCACTATTTTTTAAGCTAAATATATATATAAAAATATAAATATATTTGTAATTTTAAAAATTTAGAAATTGAGTATCTAATATTTATTCGCAGTTTGATCGTATTTAAATCAAATACCGAGGGAATTAGACGCAAAGTCTATGAAACCACGAGGAAGTTTAACGCAATTTTAGAAATATAGAGAATTTAGTGCAATTTCACGAAACCACACGTGAATTTTGTGCAATTAAACCTATATAAAAATACAAACAAATAAAATCAACAGCACACAGCACACCAACCATGTCATGTAAATTAGTTCACAAGAGTATATAAAAAACAATCCAAATCCAAATCCAAAAGCAGGTTTTAAATGAAGAAATTCTCCATACCTAAAACATCTGTACATTAATTCATAATTCATATCATTATTATTTTTATTTCATTTCCTGCTTCCCACATTTTCTTCTGCTGCATTCCTCCAACATCTATCTGCAACATAATCCAATCAGAAGAAGCAAGAAACATATATTTTTAGTTTATTATTATTTTATTTTATTTGATATTTCAAAAAATATATATATATATATAAAATGTAAAAATCTTTGGTAAAATCCACAAAAGAACACAACAGCTTTACCAGGACAATGCAGCCTCAAGTTGCATCAGGGCACCCTACTGCTGATCCTCCTCCTCCTCCGACCTCGTCAGCCGCCGACGCCGTCTCCGATTCGGAGACCCATCTTCGTTCAAATCGCCGACAACATTCACCTCCCGCTCATTCTCCTCCTCGTCGTCATCTTCCTCGTCGTCATCGTCGTCATTCTGAAGACCCAGCAAATTCTCCCCCCACAAATACCGCCGCCTCGAAAGTGCTCCGACGGCTCGGCGGTGCCTCGGCAAAACTCTCGGCCTGGCGCCTCGTAACTCAGCTCCCGGATCCATCGACCCGATCATGTGAAACAAGAAAAACGTGCTCAGCCACCGCCCGCCTTGGCCAGCACCGCCACCGCCACCACGATCCCTTTCTACGTTCAGTCTGTCTCCGTTTTCGATCACATAGTCTCCGAGCACAACCGCACCCGGCATTGCCGACTGGATCGCACTGACAATATCGTTGTACTCTCTTTGGTCCTCGAGGCGGCGCCACGCCCTTTGCCTCGACGGATCGACATCGGCCGGGCGCACCGTCGGATGCACCCGCCGAGCATGGCGGCGCAGCTCCCTGTAGTTACCCGTAAACAAGCACGAGTCGCGCGAACAGCTTCGGGACTTGAGGTTCAGGTACTTTCTAGCATCTTCCACAACTTTCCAGCCGAGAACCGTTCCGCGGCATAAAGGGCATCTCAGATTTGACCAATCTTCCGACTTCTCGATGCTATTATCCCCAAGATCACCGCTTCCGATTATCGCCGCCGCCGCCTGCACTCCCGAATCAAAGTTCACATCTTGCCCGCCGCTTCCGGACCCTTCCGCCGCACCCACACCCATCTCCGCCGCAGATTCAGTTCCCGTCAAATCAACTTGAAAACCACTAGCTTGAATCCAAGTTTCCAAGTCAACAGGGCCATTCGAAACGTCGATCGAATCATTAAGAGCTTCTGGTGGTGGAATTGGAGGCGGCAGAGATGAGGGATCTGCAATTTCTTCTTTCAGTTTCTTGAATCGATCCAAGCAATTCGAATGCCGGTAACTCGTATCGCAGATGTACGAGCGGCAGCCTTGGCTATGAGAACTGCAAATCAAAAGGACAGCATTGTGTGGATGATCCATGCATATGGGACACGAGGTGTCGTCCCATTCCTTGATCAGTGCAGAGACATCCGAATCGTTCGATAGGCTTCGTTTCCTACTAGCCATCTATGTGGGGCTGAAATATTTTACTGATGTAATGAATTCATTAGCATTCGAGGTCAAACTCCATAGAAATGCAAGAAAAATCGACCGAGTAGAATTTAAGTAGGCTTAAATTGACAACAGAAATAGCACATAGCCAACAAACATTCACGAAAATGGCACACACGTGCGTCTGTGTTTATATATATATATATATATGCATAAAAGTCGCAAAAATCACAAATATAACAGACAATACATCAAAATACCCAATGTTATGCACCATCGTTGTTTCCAATTAAAAAAACAAACTCATTTTTCATACAAAATATCAAATCTAACAAATATTTCACTTGAAAAAAAAAAAAAAAAAAAAAAAACCAAAAACGAAAATATACAAAACACAAACAAAACACACCTATAGTGCTTCCTATGATGTCTTGTAAAAATTGACGGCTAAAGAAGCAACAAAAAACTCTTGTTTGTTACCATGGTTACACCTAACCATGAACAAACTCAAATCTAACTGAGGTAAAAAAGATTCAGAATCTGAAGAAAAGAATCCGAAACAAGTAGCTAGATAATGATAATTAACAAATCTCAATGTTTTCGTAAGATTCCATTCAGTTTTATCATACCCCCAATGCCTACTAAACACCCGAATAAACAAAAACAGAATAAAATCCAGAAATATGGACATGGATAAAAACAAGGTTCAGATATCAAAACACGCCCATGCTAAAGATTAAAAAATTCAAGAGTATAACACGAAAAACTTGATATGCAGATGGATTATTCACTTAATTCTCAAGAAAGCACCATGAACAAACAGAAATCAATTATGAGGCCACAAAGAATCCAATAATATAAGCTAAGAACAATAATGACTTTGAAGAACATAACACTACTGACCATTTCATTCTGCACTTACCGTATAAAAAAGGGAAAGAGGTGTTGTCCTTTTACCGGCAGCTTTCGAATCCTATAACAAGAGATTCTAACCTTGTATGAATCGGATTAGCTAAATGAAGTACTAGAGAATCCTTAGTTGACTTCACTGGATATTCGTTTGCCACTTGTCTCGATCATCAATAAATAACAAATTAGATAGTCTTATAATCTTGGAGTGATATCGTCTTAAATTAAATATATTTCAAATATTTTGGATCTACAATCGCCAACGAGTCCCACAACCTGCAGTTAGCATTGCAGATTGATCATTTGCATAACTCATCCAACTTCACAGTCAAAGAGCAATTAGGCAAAATCACACAAAGAATGAATAAAACCAAAAGAAGAATCGAACCAGCAGCAACAATCAATTCGGACGACAATGAAGAATAAATGAAACTTACAAATATAAGATTAATCATGAATGGCATGCATCTAAATCACCTCATCATATGACACTTTGCTCTACAAAATCTCACAATGATAAGAATCCAATTTACTGAATTAAACTATGAATTAACAAACAATTTTCTGCTATATATAGTTCTATGCAAGTTGAAATCATCTAACCAAACATCCCCAATCTTCAAACACTAACACCAAATCAAATCCCCACACACACACACACACACACAAAAAAGAGAGACAATCTTATGAGGCTTTGTTATTTCTTAAAAAATTCATAATAATACACAAAAGAGTTATTTTCATTGTCAACATAAAGAAAACCCTAGATCCAACAAAAATCCCCATTTCTTATCATCAGACTTGACCAACTCTGTAAAACATATAAAGATTCTTCGTTTCTTTTCAACGAATCAATCGGCAGATTATTGTACAAACTTGCCCATAAACGCACAAGCACAACTGCAAAGAATCGGCAACAATCTAGAGAGAAAGGCATCAAATTCAGACAAACTGAAAATAAATTAGCACAGAAATGTCCAGCATGAAATAAATCGAGAAATTGAAACTGTAGAATTACAATTCGCAGAAATTAGTGATGATCTGGAGATTATCCTTCGACCTAACTTTGTATGAAGATTAAATCTACACAAATTTTTTTGGGTGGAATTCACGCGATTGCGTTCGATGAAAGAGGGCCATGGGAAATCAAGGAATTGTTCGCAAGGTTTTCTGGGGTATGATAAATACCATTTGGTAATTATTTTATTTATTTATTATAATTATATTATATTATATTATTATTATTATTATTATTATTATTACTATTATTATTTTACATGAGATTTCGCTTTTTTGTCACCTAAATATAGATTATTACTCCTTCCGTCTCAATGCCGTGTTTCTATAATTAAGTAAATAATTAATACTCTCTCCGTCCAGTACAAAATATATACATTTATTTTTAGTGTTGTGTTTAATAAATAATACTCCATCCGTCTCAGATACCATGTCACGTTGTCGTTTATTTCCGTTCTATATACTATGTCAATTTCTTTTTTTGAAAAATGATTACAGACTTTAATTTTATTTTAAATTTTAAATATTTTTTTAAATTTTAATTAAACTAATTAGTTATCTTAATCTTAATTTATAAATTATTTATATTATAGGATAATTATTTTCACTAATATATTATTAATTATCCACTAATTAGCAGACAACGTATCTGGGACAGAGAGTGTAGTATTTTAATTATAGTGAGTAATTAAAAATAGTGTAATAATATTTTCGCTTTTACTTTTTGGTGTAAAAATAATGATGTGATGTAAAATAAGAGTATTTGTAAAAAAAATGAGATTTTTAATGAAATATTTATTTTTTAATTAAATATCCCAATATATAAATATGTATATTTTGTACCGGACGAATAAAATAATATATTTGTGAAAATAATTATTGTATAATATAAAATAATTTTATATTAAAATTAAAATTAAAATTTTAAAATAAAATTAAAGAGTATAGTTCTTTCTAAATAAAAAATGACATAATAAGTTACACAAACTTAAATGAAAAGGAAACATGATATATATAGGACTGAGGGATTAATGTTTTTCCAATCACATATTTATATTGAAATTCATGTTAAAAAATTTAGATATTGGAAAAATAATAAATAAAAAATAAAAGTATAATCATAATATACTAATATATGTGGGAAAAAAATCATATATTTCCTTTGTCGCAAAAGTAAGTATCAATTTGCTTTTTACACATAGTTTTAGAAATATTAGTATTATATTGAGATATAATAGAAATAAAGTATAAATGACTAAAATAACCTTATTAGTATGTGTGATATAAAGGTAATGACATTTGTGTAATATATTGTAAGTTGTAAGAATATTTGTAATATTAGGTAGATAGTACAGTTACTAGAAAAAGAAATGAATACTTTGTTATGAGACGGACTAAAATGGAAAAATGAATACTTTGTTATGAGACGGAGGAAGTATTACTATCAAAATATTTTTTAATTTTTATCTAAATTACAAATATATTACTTATATATAATTAATTTATAGATTAAAGTCAGAATATCAAAAAAGTTTAACCATTTTTATTAATTAATAAAATATTATTCTCTCAGTCCGACTTTAAAGGTTTTATATACTTTTTTTTTTCATTATTATACTTAAAATTAAAAATATTCTTATATTTGTATAATTTTTTATATTAATATCATTATAATAGTCCTATAATGCACCGGTAGAATTACTTTTGTCTTCTTTTTTATTTATACCATATTTTTATATAATAATTAGTATTCAAATATCAACACACAAAAATTAAATTAGACCATTGGAGTAGGACGAAAGTATTATTATTTTTTTAATTTATTATAAAATTTTAAAAAATAATTTAAAGTGGAACCGAAGAGAATATTAATGGCTTTGTTCATCCAACACTATTTTAAAATTGCATTCTTAAAAAATAATAGTAGTAGTAAACAATACAAAACATATTTTATAAAATAAAAAAAGTTTAAATACTTATTACAAAAATTAAAAAAATCAAATATTCAATTTAAAATAATATATTTTATATTTTTTACATGATTTTTTATATAACACGACAAAAAAATTATTTCATCTGCGAACGCTTTACCGTAAACATGGTTGGACCAAAATTGATGCTTTGATGCTTTGGAAACTCCAGGATCTAACACCAGATTAATCCAAACCATACGTTGTGTAGGGTCCATTCAGTGCAATGAACGGTGTAGATCAATTTACTCCTCCTACGTGTATCTCATATGGGTCCTTCAAAGGGTTTCAGCAGATTCTTGTAGCATTTACTTCAATTAAATAAAGAACATTTATGGGGAATAAATATGTTACTATAAATTTAAATATTAAAGAAAGTTAATTATGATTATGTTTACCTAAATAATTTTTTTACCGATTTCTAATATATATTATAAAGTCTATTTTATTATCTTAAAAAAAAATTATCCACACAATCTCACATTCTTGTCCATCTTGTTGTTCATACATTTTAATTATATTTTTATTTTTTATTTTTTTAATTTTAATAAATTAATTAATTATCTTAATGTATAATTATTGGTATTGCAATTACTTTTATTAATATATTTTAATTTTTTTATTAATTATATCACTCTTAAAATCTCATAACTACACTGTAACATAATAGTACATGAGAAGAAAAAGTAACTTTTTTAATATATCTAATACTTATTTTGTCCAGAACTATAGTTTGGGTTGAATTTGACACGAGATTTAAGAAATATTGATATTATATTGGTAATGGGTAAAAAGTATTGTAAAAGACTTTTTTTTGTCTTGGTGAGTATATTAGTGTAAAAAGTAGTGGCAATTGTGTAATAATAATGAAAAAGTAAATGTAGTTTTATAGTAATATAGTTATTTATGGAAATAAAACTATTGTTTTGGGGCGGACAAAGATGGTAAACAAGATTATTGTATTTGGACGGAGTATAATAGTTTTGTTTACTATTTTTGTCCGTCCCAAAATAATAGTCTTATTTTCATAAATAACCATATCAACTACTCTTATAACCATATCAACTACTCTTACTCTTTTATTATTATTACATATTTGTCACTATCTTTTACACTAATACACTAATAAGGACAAAAATGTCTTTTACCTATACTTTTTACTCACTATTAATATAATATCAATATTCCTTAAATCACAGGTCCAACACAATCAAGACTATATTTTCGAGACGAATATTCTAAATTTACTTATAAAAAGTAAATAAATAATTGAGACACGATGGAGTGAATATTATTATATTGATTATATTATTATTATAGTAAAAAGTAAAATGTAAAATGTACCCTTTTTTTTTTTTTTTTTTTATTTATATGGACTGCAATTATTAAAAATGAAAACTAAACTACTAATGAAAATAATAAAATTGATACATTAATTCTAGAGGAATTATTAAAGTAATGTTTAGTATACTGTTGATTTTAAGATGCTTTCCTTTTAATTCGATATGTCATTATATTTAATTTTTTTATTTTTTTATTTTTTAAATATGTATGTATGTATATTTTTAAGTTATTTAGGATATGTTTATTATTGAATTGTAAGTTTCATATCTAATAAGAATAAATATAGAATTGCAAATTATTAATTTCGATTAAAAATTTATACAAAGCAAATTTGAAAAATAGTAATTGCGGACCCACATCATAAAAAAATGTTAAAAATTGTAATTTCTCCGTCATCTAAATCTATACTAGTTTTTGTTAGTAGAATTTTCTTTTTTAAATTTTTTAAATAAAATTTTATATCAATTTTGTATTTTTTACTATAAAAAGTATCAATTTTTATATAGTTCTATTAAATCTGTACCCAATCAAATAAATATTAAATTTAATGATGAAAGTATATGCTACATTTGTCATTTAGTTATGTTCTCATCCTTTTTATAAAATAATATATATATAAAAAAATAAATCAGTTTTTAACAATTGAGTAGTAATATTTTATTAATATTATATAATTTAGATTTATTAAATAAATAGATATATACTACTCCCTCCGTCTCAGATACCGTTTCTCTCCGTCCCACATACCATGTCACTTTTCTTTTTTGGAAAATGATTACACACTTTAATCTCATTTTAAATTTTTTAATTTTATTTTTTTTTAAATTTTTATTAAACTAATTAGTTATCTTAATCTTAATTTATAATTATTTATATTATAGGATAATTATTTTCACTAATATATTTTTAATTATCTATTAATTACACTCCTCCTAAAATACCGTGTCTACAGTGTAGCAGACACGGTATCTGGGACGGAGGGAGTAGTATTTATGAAATTTTTCTGTGCATGTGTTTTCACTTTTAGCATTTGTAGATAATATAATATTTCATCCGTCCGGCTCTACCAGTTCTATTTACATTTTGCGCCATTGTACTTAATATTAAAAATATCATTATATTTGTATAATTTTTTGCACAAATATCCTTATAATAGTATTATAAGATACTAATAAAATTATTTTGTTATTTTACCTTAATTTTTATTATATTTTCATATAATAATTAATATGAAAATATTAATATGAAAATAGTAAATGAAGCAGTATTTTGTACTATAAAAGAAAGATTAGTGTTGCAACAACCTATAATATTTTAAGAAAGTCTTTGTTTACACAATTATCTTTAATTCATTTGGTACTAATTATTTTATAAAAAAATTATTATATTAAATATATTTTTTTTCCATAAAATATCAAATCAAAATACTAATTTATTTTTTTCAAATTATCAAAATTTAAAATAATGCAAAATAATGCTTAAAATTTTTTTTCACTCAAATTAAGTAAAATAATAGTGCCTCCATCCCATATCTATCTCTTCATTTGTTTTTTTCGCAAAGTTTTAGAAATATTAGTATTATATTGAGATGTGGTAAAAATAAATGTAAAAAGGACTAAACTAACCTTATTAGTATTGTATGATATAAATATAATGATATTTGTGTAATATATGATAAACTGGAAGGATATTTGCAATGTTAGGTAGATGTACAATTACTAAAAAAAATTGATAATTTGTTATAAAACAGACCAAAATGAAAAAATGAATAGATTGTTAAGAACAAACGGACTATATTAATATTATTATATACTTTTGTAAGGACAAAATTGAAA